CCAGTACAATCGATGTCGTACAGATATGGTCTGCAAGGAAACAAAGTGGAGATACACATTGCAGCGAGTCATTGGAGAGCCAACACAGCCTTCTGGGAAGGGCATTTTAGGCAGGGAAATGTGTTTAAGCTCAAACAGTCACGGTACACACAGTATTTCATTTTAAAATGTGTCAGTGTGGCCGTGCTCAGGGGGAAGGGGGAGGCACTGACCTGCCGTGCCCCAGCAGCAAGGCCAGATGTGGGGGGCACCCCTTTGAGAGAGGAAGCATCACCCTCTGACAGAACCCCACAGTGGAGGAGGGAGCCCAGGGGTTACGTGCTGTGACTGCAGCCTCCTCCAGCACAGCTGTGGCTGTGGGGTCCTGCAAGCACAGCGGGACCCAGCACAGTGGGGTCGGGGCTCGCAGGCACCCAGCAAAGTGGGCACCCCCTTTCTTGGGGTGCGCAGGCTGAGCCCGCAGCACCCTCTAGAGGAACGCGGCCACCCAGCCCTCGATTTCAGGGAGGATTTGGATCCACGCGAAAGCATCTTTCCAGCAATGCTTTCTCAGGTGGATTTAACCTATTGCTGTGCACCAGTTTATCTTGGAGACGCATCACTCATGAACCCTGTGTGTCTCTGATGAGTGGCATCAGGCCTCCAGCTTGTCCCTCCAGCGGCAGGGGGTGGAGATGGGCACTGCTGCAGGCAAGGGCTGATAGGGAGGGAAAGGTGGATCAGAGGCTCCCCACCAAACCACCAAACCAGGAAGAAGCACCCAGGGAAAAGTCCTCTGAGCTCCTGCCTTGCAGGGCTCCAGGTCCCCACTGTGTCCCCAGCTGCAGCCAACGTTGCCAGGATGCCAGGTTTAACACAAACTGGAGGTGGAGCTCTAGCAGGTGTGGAGATGGACATTTCACTCATAACATCTGGTCCCCAGAAGGCTGTAAAACTGCAGCTCAGTTTAGCTTAGGATCCCTCAGCCATGGGCACTGCATCCCTACACCCGCCTTGACAGAGCAGCTGCGTCAAGTCAAAAAGAGTTTGGTGGACTGTTACCTAAGAGTGACCTATCAGTGAAATCCCACTGTAGTGTGATCCCTAATGGGATCCTACAAGGAAAAATAGCTTAAATTCCCATGTGTGATTAAATGCCCTGGTTACACCTGCATTACTCTTTCCAGTCAGGATGTGCTGGCCAACACACAGTCCTAAAAGATACGTGGGGTTCATCTGTTACTCACTGTGTAGGAGACGTGAGACACCCGAGGACAAACATCCTTTGACTGCTGTGCTTGTGGCTACAGCTGCCTTCACGTCTGGAGTTTCCCAGTTCCACGTCTCATGCTGGCCAAATGGGGCTTTTCTGCATAAAGAAAACCATTACCTCTGCCTCAAATTAATTCTGTATACAGTACCTAGTTCATATTTCTGCAGTTACAGTGCTTTGTATTTTATTTTATAAACCACGTATCAATTTCAAGGAGAAGCATCTCTGAAATGTGAAATCCTTAAATGTAAAAAAAAAAAAAAAAACAACAAACCCAAACCTGAAAGTCTCAAACCCACGTTTCAAGTCGAAATTAAAAAATGCTGGGCAAGCAGCCTGAGTCCTCTCCTGAAGGATCCATTTTCCTTGGATGTACAACATGCAGGTTCCAGCCTGCGAGTCTGCTGGGCTTGGCCGGGGTCCCTTAATGTGCATTTGGCTGGTAAAGAATGAAATAAGGAAGGCAACCCCGGGAAGAGAATAGAAATACTTTTCTGCCTGTTTTGTGAGATAAACTAGAGGGATCAGATAAATGCCTAAGCCAGGACACCAGCACCAGGAGCTACAAGATGGGACAGAGGGATGGAGCACCTCACCCACAAGAAAGAGCTGAGAGAACTGGAATTGTTCAGCCTGGAGCGAAGGTGGCTTTGGGGTGACCTAATTGCAGCCTTCCAGTACCTGAAAGGAGCCTGAGGAAAGATGGAGGGAGACTATTTATAAGAGCATGTAGCGACAGGACAAGGAGGGACGGCTTCACACTGACAGAGAGCAGGTTTGGATTAGATATCAGGAAAAAATCCTTTACTGTGGGGATAGTGAGGCCCTGGCACAGGTTGCCCAGAGAAGCTGTAGCTTCCCCATCCTTGGAAGTGCTCAAGACCACACTGGACGGGGCTTGGAGCAACCTGGGATAGTGGAAGTGTCCTGGCCCATGGCAGGGGGTGGAACAAGACCTTTAACCCCTTCCAACCCAAACCAATCTGTGATTCTAAGATTGGTGTCTCTCTGGGTGACAGCCCAGCCTGACTGTCCCCTCTCTCCCAGGTGGCCCCAGCTCTGCCATCCCAGGAAGGACTTGGAGAGAGAGAGCAGCTGTCTGTCTGGAGACACTGGAGCATCCATGTGACACACTTGCCTTTATCAGGAATGTAAGGGAGTGCACATGGACCTGGCCAGGATAAGAGAGGCTGCAGGCCACAGTGGTGGGATTGCACCTGCCTGGACAGCCTGGTGCTCCCAGGTGTGCAACCACCACACAGCTTGGCCCTGGGGGATCCTCCAGCTGGAGAAGTGGGTCCAGATCTTTGTTACCTGAACTTGCCTTGTGCCCACACCACCTTCAGCATCCCTCAGCTTCCCGCTGGGTGACCTCCAGCTCACCTGCCCTGGCAGGACTCCAGTGAAACGCCCAACCCTTGGCCCAGGGCAGGTTTCCTAGTCAGGATATTCCATAAGGACAGGCCATCCACGGGGCACTGCAGAGCTCCTGAGCAGCACACAGGCAGCACCCTGCTGCCACTGGGCACCAGAATCTCCAGGTAATAGTCACCTGTGAAGCCACTTCAGTGCTATCTCCCTGTTCCCCTTGCCTTTGTCCTCAAATGGGAACTCATGGGATGTTTAATTATCAACATCATGCTGAATATGGAGAGATTCCTCATCACTGAATCTGGGGATAAACAGTCTCCTTTGCAGAATAATTTCTTTTTTAACAGCTCCCCCTCCCCCTTTCTCCAAATTAATTTCCATCCCAGCCACGAGCCTCCGTAGAAAATCTTGCCATAATCATTTTGAGCTAAATATTCTGACTAATCAATCAAAGCAGTGGAACCAATTTTGAAGCTGTCACTTTTAATTTTTCCAATAAAAGAAAAATCGAGCATTTCACTCACAGTGCTGTTGTGATTCAAGCTCTTCAAACCTTCGCTCCACCGCATCAGCGCTTTGGAGAAGTACTTGAAAATGTGAAGAACTGGCACAATTGCAGAGAAACTAAAATAAATTGATTTTTAGCAGCGAGAAGAAACCTGTTTCTTTGCGCACCTTTAGACCTGGCTCACAAAACCTTTTCTTTCTTTCTCCCCTGCTTTCCCCCTCTACACAGAAATAACTACAGCCTATTAGTGATTTCATACGCACAAAGGGCTGGCACTCATTAAAAAGTTGACGTGTTATTGAGAGCTCGGTGCATAAATGCTAATGAAGGCCCAGAAAGGTGCTGGGGTGGAGGAGAGGATTCCTCCTGCCTCCAGCACTGGGTGCCTGTGGGATGGAGCAGGAATGGCCTGGGTGCAAAAGTGGCTGGAGAAATCCATCCTGGAAAGGAGAGGCCGTTAAACACACTGGCAAGGGCACTTTGTGTTCGGGGTACGTGTGGGCTGCGTTCCTGCCCAGCGAGGAGCCATCAAATGAGAGGCTTTGCAAGTTGTTCAGTGAGGGAGCGCTCTGGCTGTGGGAAAGTCGAGGGGAGTTTTGCCATCGTGTTCCTGCCTCCCAGCAGTCGGTGCCAGGCACAGCCGTGAGCTGGTGTTCTCTTCTGCTTTTATGGATGGACGTGGATGAACTCGTGCCCTGAAAAAGCACTGTGTGCCTCTGTGTAGGAGAGGGAAGACAGCAAAAACAGCAACAGTGCCCTCAGTTTGGGCCCCTACTCGAATCCAAAACAGAATCCAAAACAAAATCCAAAACAGAGCACTGCACCAGCTACTAAAAATGAACCCTATCCCAGTCCAAACCAGGACAACCACATAGAAGAGGGAAAGGAGCCTTCCTACAAAGTGATACCTGAACTTCCTAGATTCAGGACCACTTCCAGTTTCACGTTAATTTCACACCAAGATAAGCTTACACCGTGATCCCACAGCTCTCCTGCACTGCTCACACAGAAACCCAGCTGGCAAGACAGAGCCAGCAATGCCACCAGCCTCTGTTGTGGCTGCCCTGTGTGAGCCCATTGCCCACCCCCGTGCCAGCCAGCACCCAGCAGCAGTGCCTGTCAGGTCCCACACCGCTCCTGCTTGTCACTGTCTCCACTTCAAGAGCCTGTGAGCAGGATGCAGGAGGCACAAAATCAGCGGGGAGATGCTGGAGTGGCAGATGAAGCCAATGGTGTCACTGAGCCTGATGCCTCCTACCGACCCCCTGCCTGAGCCTCCGGCTCTGTTGTCTTGGTTTATTGTGTTTACTGAGGGCACAGATTGGGTTTGGAAGTTCTGAAGATGCGGAGAGCCCTCTGGCATATGAGGAAGGAGATGAAACCTAAGAAACGGAGAAGTTAATATGTTTTCAGATCACAAGAGAGCTTGGAAATGCCACTGATGCTTTATTAATCTCTTCTGCCCCTGGAGGACAACAGGCAGCTGCTTCTTCCTCTGTCTCTGCTGAATTTCCTTCACTGGAAGTTAAAAGAGACAGTGGCAAGTTAATTCTATTTTGGAGACAGAGCGTTTTTGTCTGTGCCTTTCATAATGCTCTCAGATTATTAAAACTCCTTTAAAACAGGATTTTTTAATCTATTTAAGAAGTCCAATTTTCTTTCTATGCTGCTTCACCCCAGCAATTTCTCTCTCCCAGGAAAACCCAAATTACTCAAGTCTAGCCATTTTTATTGCAGTTCTGGGCCTCTTCCCATCATGTCTCAGCTGCTGGGGCAGCACTGCTGATGCACAGCAAGGGCAGAACTCAGCCCAAAGCAGGATGAGGCCACAGCCCCCAAAACAGGCAAAAACAACACCAAAGCCAAGCGTTCCAACATGATGCTCGGTTGTATTTTCAGTCCATTAATACACATTCATTTACCAGATACAAATGGAGTGGAAAGGAAAGCGATCATTAGCAGGAACAAGGGTACAAAACTCAATTCCAGCAGCCTTCACAGAAGGGATATTCAGTGTCAAAGCGGCACTGTCGGAAGGGAGGGACGCACGGAGACCTGCGCTCACACCCCAAGTGGAAGCTCTCCTTGTGTGGATTAGGGTAGCTAGAGACACGATTTAAAAAACAAAACAAAACAACAACATTCCAAAACTGACTTTGACACTTTTTGTCATTTCCCTGGTGTCAAGACTAGGGAAAGATGGAATTATTTACGTGGAGATTTTATGGAAAGACACTGGAAGGTTAAAAATAGAATAATCACAAATACTGGAAAATACAACAGAAAGCAGGTAGGGAAAAGAAAATAGGAAAAAAAAGTGATGCCCCAAGAGGATCATTGCATTCAGTGGTCGATGTACAGTTGGTGGGGCTGCTCCACTTCGATACACTAGGATTTACATGCTGGCCTTGATTCGCCGCCATGACATTATGCTCCCGGTTTAGACTGGGATTCTGCAAAGCTCCTGGTTTCAGCAGGATCTCAGCAGTGCAGAGAGCATTGCTTGTTTGAAACCATCTGCAGTACGAGTGGCACAAACTGTGACAGTGCATTGACATCTTGTGGGGCACCCAAGAGATGCCAACCTCTGCCCATGTCCTGGTCTGGAGACCACTGGTTTTCCTCCCCTTGGCCACCACAGCATCCCACCATGAAAGGCTCTGCTGCTGGTGGAGAGGTGTCAGCTTAGACCAGCATGGATTTGGGTCTCTACATTCTGCAGGAGAGGGAAATGGCATTATCCTACAGGACTGCTCAGACTTACATATCAGTGTCTCCACACATGCAGCTCTGTGCCCAGACACAACCCCCTGACAAGTGCACAAGACTCGTTACGCTGAAATAACAACAGCAAACCACATCTGGGCTTGATTGTACGGGGATGTTCCCTTGGAAGGAATAAAGATATTGTAAATTATTCATGGCAGGGTCCCAGGTAGGCAACACCTGCACCGAGGTCCTCCCAGGGACAGCACCAGGACTGCAAAATCACGTTGTGAAACCTGATCAAAAGACAGGAAAAGGGGAGCATTGGGGGTTTAATCCAGCAAAGCTCACACCAAGTCAGGGGACAAACTGAGACCAAGACACCAGAAACTGAGCCCAGCACCTTGCAACTGCCATGGAGCACTGGAGTGGTTCTCCTACAAATTATTTTTTAGTACAGTTCTTGCATATGATGACATTTTATCCCTCATTTTTTAAACCATGCATTAACTTTACAGTGAAACATTTATCCAGTCCAACATCTATACAACAAAACATGTACTTTAAAATATCAGACCATTAAAAAAATAAGGAAAGGAGTGTGAATTCTCAAAGTGGCACATGTTAAAGAATAAATTAAAGGGGAAAGAAGCATTCTACTAGGGCTGAACTACAAAATAAAGTCTGAGCCTGGAAGAAATTCTCATTTCCTATAGTTCTAACAAATAAATGCCACAAGAAACAGCTGATGTTTCTGGGGTTGCTAGTGCTAGAATCCACAGCACTTGTTACAGCACTGGGTATCTGTGGGTGACCCTCTCTGGTTTGAAGGTGTTGAGCCCACGCTGGTATGGATGGACTAAAGTAGTGATTGTTCAGGTGCAGAAACCAACTCTCTCAAGGTGTTGAACCTCACAGGCTTCTTAATATAAGAAACAAACCTGTAGCTGACAGGACCCACGGAGCCAGCTCAGGACAGCACAGCTCGTGGTGTGAATGAGTGGGGTTTCCCCGGGAATGGCTCCAGCCCCATCCTCTGTTTGGGGCGAGCAGTGCTGCATCCATGGGGGATTTGGTGGCCCCACGAGCCCCTAGGGATGTTGGGCACTCTGCTCCATGCTGGGGCTGCTGTGCACACCCTGCTTGCATTTGAATGTTACTAAACTCCCAGTATCAGGAATTTAGCACCAACAGGGCGCAGGAAAGGGATGCTCAGCATGGCACCTCTGTTCCTAGAAAGGGAAGCCTCCTCTTAGACAGAGAGCCAATGTCAGGCTGTCTGCTACCTCAGTAATAAAAGACCTTCTTAATTAGCACCTTTCCACACAGAATCAGTCAGTTAAATCTCCCTCCATGGCTCTGCTGTGTCACTGGGGACCAGCAGCCATCACATGGGGGGCTGAGTGTTGCAGAACCTGGGTGGTTTTTTCCCAACAGCAGCCTGGCAGAGGGGGGAACTTAACACCCCTGAAGTTAGGAAGCCCTAATAATTAGCTACCTACCACTTTAAAAGACAATGTAAAGATAATTTAACAATTACAAAAAGTGGTTTGCTCACGTGAGGACGGGTACAATAAGAGCACTTGGAAGATGACAGGAGTCTTACACTTTAAAGTTCAGTGTACGGGTGGCAGGGTTGAATGCTTTCTTCTTGGCTCTGAACACAGATCTGTGTGACTGACAAGGACTCTCTGACAGGCTGTAATTGTTTGAAGTCAGCAGCTTTGTTCAAACTAAAACAGCTAAAAACATCAGGAGAGAAAAGCTCCAAACCTGATGTGAAATAACAAGACACCTTTGATCTTTCTTGATCACAAATGGTCAGGGCACATATTGCTCTGGCTCTCCAGGGGGTGACCCCAGGTCAGTATTTTTAAGAGAAAAAAATCAAGGGAACATAATTCTGTGCTTACAGCGTGCCAGGTAAAAGCATCAACCCCCTGGACTCAAGTTCATCACATAGAATGCTGCACATACACTTCCAACAGGTGAACCAGACCACAGATGGACCAACGAAAAAGGAGTATAACAGGCAACTGCACCTACAGAACACAAGTATAAAACAGGGAAACTGAAGGAAGGGGCTGAGACTTGGCTGCCCTGGAAGAACGTCTGGGGTTGTTCCTTACTCGGGTGATGCAGCAGGTACAGAATTAGCAGGTGCCTCTTTACAGGTCTGAACACACGAGGGAATCAGCTAAAATGTGATGCCAGCTATGTTTTGGGGATAGGTAGGCGAATGTTGGGATTCTTTTCCAGTTAAAAACAGGTGAGACTATTGGAAGAGCCAGAAAAGTTAAAAATAAACTTGCCTGTGAACATTGCTTCACCTGGCCTTTTGTCTGAGTGCTGGGCACAGGTATAACCCAGCTAGGGAAGGGATCCCTGGATGCAGGGGCAGCAGAGGAGCTCAGCCTCACAATCCTCCAGGTCTCCTTAGGTGTTTCTCATGTTCTCTCAGCATTTGACACAGCACTGCTGACTGCCAGGAACACCTCTAGTTGGAGGTGGACATGAAATCAGGAGACACGGCTCATTGCAGGATGGGGGATAGAGATAAGGGCTGGGATGGTGCCCACCACACGAGGTCCTAACCCAGGAACAGTAGTGTTTGTCCCAGGGATGCTGTACTGAACTGCTGTTGAGCTGCACAGGGAGATGCAAAAGAGCTTTGGAAACCATCTTACAGCAATGGAGAACAGGACTGGGCATGATGAGTTTTACCTCTGCTTGGGAAGACACGTCCTGCGTGACTGAGCTCGAGACTGTGGCTGGTCTAATAGCAAAGCAGAGCAGAGACAAGGCTTTGCCAACTGCTCCCCTTCCCCCTGCATTCACCCCATCTACAAACCTCGTCAGCTCAGTTTGAGCGTGGTGTCAGCTTAATGGCCTTTCTCTTCTTCTAAATAGGGAGGAAAGGGATGGAAATGAAAATCTATCATGAACTGCCAGAAAAATGCATGAACGGAGGGCCCCGAGTGCAGAGTTTGGTTTGTCCCACACCAGCTTTCAAGTTTCTGTCCCATTCCACACAGTGCCTTGCTTTCCTTTTGGCTCCAGAGACCTCAGGATTGAGCTGGAACCTTGATCCTCTCCTCAGGAAAGCTGTCACTCACAGTGGGACCAAACTGACGTGCTGTGTGTCTGCAAAGGCCAGTAAATTCCACTGATTTCCAGCACCTCTGGCTCCATCGAGACTGCCCTTTGCCAAGCCTGAGGGCTGCTGATTGCTCCAGCTATGATAGGAAAAGGGGTTTTTTTCTCCCAAAGGGAAGAAGAGACCGAAATGCTGATTCGGACACAAGATTGTTAGTCTGTTCCCATTTAAGGAGGGAAACACCCACACTTGGAAAGCTGTAGGACGGCCCAAGGCAGCAGCAAATGGCACTTCCCAACAGCGCCAGGGCTGCACAACATGCTCTGACAGCGTGTGAAAGGGGTGAGATGGGGGGACTCCAGTGAGCCACGGTGCAGACACCCAAAAGCCTTAAAAGCACACAGAGCCCACGACTCCTGCGCATCCACAGCACGATCACAGTACGTTTGCAACCACAGGATACAGCTGGCAGTGGTAACAACATCGATTGGGATTGAGTTCCTGTCCTAGAAAGTGGCCTGTGTCCTTTAGATGCTCAGAACGTGCCTGAAGAAGTAACTCCTCCAGAGGGTAAACTTCTCATTTGCCATCATCTCCAAGTCTTTCTGCTTCTGCTAGCGTCGATTTGCTTCATGTTCCTCCACCAAAATCCCTAAGAAAGGCACCTTAGCTTGGTGGAGATGTTTTTTGCAATAAAAAGCTTCCTGAAATCCCATACTGTTCATCAGCTCTCCTGAGAACAAGACTTTAATAGGAAAACCAGTCTGCATCTTCTTAAGTCCAAACCTCCATGGGTACCATGGACTCCTTTGTTCCGACGGAGGGAAGCAAGTACTCTTCCTCCAGGAAACGAAAGGGGAATTGTACTAAAAACCCACGAATCTTTTTTAATTCTTCCACTGCTTTTGCAGGATCATCATTTGCTAATTTGGGCTTGCTGATGAAATCGCGCAGTTGGGTTAAGTTATTCACCTGGTCACTGGGAAGGCATCGAAACACCTGATCAAAACAGAAAGGAGGAACAGCCTGTTAGTGTGGGGGAAATGCTGCAATGTAGAGTTCCTGAGAAACACCCAAACATCCAGCACAAATTCCCCAGAACGGGAGTGACTTAGCAGCCCAAAGAACGGGGAGGGAAGAGGGATGTGCCTATCCATGATACCACTGGAGCAAGCAGAGGGGAAGCTCCAAGACTTTTTCTGATCATTGCAAAAGCTCATTAGAAGACAGAAGTAAAATTTGCTCCTACCCAGTTACATTGTGGCTGACTGCAAGCACTGATAACAAACAGAAGGAGAAATCAGATCAGATGCACAAACTCCAGTTTCTTGTTCTCAGCTCTTGCATCCACCTTGACTCATTCCCTCAAAGTATCTCTGAAGGTCCAGCCCCAGAAGCTGGACCTGCTTGCCCTTGCCTTCCTTGTGCTGCTTTTCCCGTTGGCATCTGCTGCCTCCATGTGGGATGGAGGGAGGGGAGAGGCACTGTGTTCCTCACCTTGTCAAAGATGGTGGCATTGCGAGCTGCCGTGGCAATCCACACCTCCTTGAAGAATTTGTCACAGACGGGATCCTGGTGTTCCGGATTGAGATCGGAGCCGCCAAGGACAACCCTGAGAAGACAAGGGAATGGATGCTCAGGGAGGCTGAAGCGTTGGGCACTTCCCCTCTTGAGAAATGCCAGGAGATTAGAAGCTTCCTTGGGACCTGCCAAACCCTCCCACCACCCTCCCATTTCTATCCCCTCTGACAGTCTGCCAGCAGAAATGCTGCTTAATTTTCTCCATTTTTTCTGTGCAGTAACTGTCCAGATGGGAAATGGGGGGGGAGGGAAGGAAAAAGAGAAAGGTCTTAGAGAAAAAATGGCCGTGTTGTGGGCCAAATGGCTGCTCCCAGAGAAGAAACTTCCATTAGAAAGTGACATTGCCACCCAAGATTGAGAGAGTGTGAAAATGGGATGTGGAGGGGAAATACCACTTGTTTATGAGCTCTGCTAGAGAAATCCTGGAGCAGAACGATCTGTGTTGCCAAGCTGCTGAGCTGAGGACAGGAGTGGCCTGAGGAAGGCCAGTGAAACAGCAGCAAAACTGGGCTAAATCCAGGTCAGGCAGTGCTAGAACTGGATGGTTTGAAAGGCTGTGGGCACGTGTAGCCCTGAGCAAGCCCTGCCTGCACCACCCCCACTGCCTGCAGCGCTGGGCCAGCCCCACGCATCCCACCTGAAGCAGCGCAGCCGCAGGGACTGGGCAAACTTCCCAGCGCTGTATTCCTCGCCGTCCATCACGGAAGGGACGGTCTCCGTGTCCTGCACGATGATGGCCATCTCGCTGTCCCGCTTCCCCAGCATGCTGCGGTCGTTGATGTTGGCAGAGCCTGGGCAGGGGGAAGACGGAGCACAGGCAATGCCCCGCTGGTGCACGAGAGCTGCCCACACACCCTCCATCACCACCCACCACCCCCGGGCCCTCCACATCCCTCAGCTCCATGGGGGACCATCCATCAGTAGGGAAAAACCCCAACCAGAGGCTTCCTTCTGGAAACACAGACCTTGAGTGACGGGATTTGTGGAAGGGGAAAAAAAAAAAAACCACACTAATTTTTTCAGGATTCAACAGCTCCAGGCTTGGAAGCACAGCCACGTCCAGGTCAACATTTTCAAAAGTTTACTCTCTCTGTAACTTCCCAGATGCTTCTGCTGAAGGAGCCACAGCTTTAAAGGTCTTAACTGCATTTGGTTTGGATACCAAGTTACCTGAGGCAGGATGGGCTCTGTGGGTACATCACAGAATCCCAGAATGGTTTGGGTTGGAAGGTACCTTAAAGACCATTGCATTCCAGCCCCCCTTCCTTGGGCAGGGACACCTTACACTACACCAGGTTGCTGTGGAAGGCTGTGCCTTTCAGGGGGGTTCTGCTCAAGACCAGCTGAGGCTTTATCCCCCAAAGAGGTTTCTCTCTCCCACACAGCCATCAGAAAGCATGCAGTGAGGGGAAAAATCTCCAGACAGAGCCATAAGAGACCCTCATGGCAGCAGTTAGCCACTGAGCTTTCCCAGGGACTAGATTAACTCCAGGAGAGCTAACACCTCCAGAGGAAAAACAAGGTAAGCCCCTCTCCTTTTCACCTCCTGCCCTAGAGCATTTAATTTCTGTGCACTCTCTCTTTCCTATGTGAAAAGGGGATGACACTGGCTTCCTATGGCCTCACCACCCAGATGGATGCACATGCTGTACAAAAATCCATCCTCAGGCTTATAGGTACAGAAAATAGAAATTCAGAGCTGTCCCAGGCCCCCAGACCATCCCAGCTGGAACAACACTGCTCCTGTTTTAATGTCAAACCACCTCTGAGCTGTTGTGACCACTGGAGATGGGATCTGGCCCTGAGAGGGTGACAGAGCAGCAAAGCTCACCACAGGTCATCTGGGACCACAGGCTGGATCGCTGCTTTGAAGGGGCGGAGTATTTTGAGTCTTGCAAAATCTGGGATTAAATTATTTGTTGGCAAAGTTTTCGTTGCTGATATAACAGCTCAAAAAGGGCTTCTTTAAAGAAACAGGCTGAAATTCTGCTTTTCTGCTGCAGTGTGGAACTCTGAGCCTGAACTCTCCCATCTTTGCTGCACGTTCTCATAATAAATATGGTAAGAGAAACGGATGAAATAATATCTATTACTCCTTATAGCATATTGCCCCATTCTTAGGAAATAGAGCTGATACATGACACATGTTGTCCAAACCTTCCAAATTTTACGGCACATTCTGTTCTTTCAGGAACAGATGACAAGTCTCACAAATCTTCCTGCTCGAGCAGAGTTTGATACAAGACAGATGGACAATATTCCCTGCACTGGGATTCTCTTCACGGTTACACACAGATTTCAAACCATTTCAGAAAAACAAATTAAATGACAGCCCTCCGAATCCCTTCCTCCCTCGTGATGAATTTATGAGGTTGGTTTTTGGGTTTTGTTTTGGTTTTTTTAACAGAAAAATATTTCTCAGCAAAGAAATGACAACATAGAAAAGCCTATGGAACCACAGCCCTGCACAGTGCATGGGGATGGGAAGGGACTGATCCAGGTACAACCCAGTGGTCCAAATCCCTCCTGCAAGCTCCTGCTCACCGATTATAACCGTGTTGTCATCAGCAATGAGCAGTTTGCTGTGCACATAGATGAGCTCCGTGACAAGCTTTCCTTCCAGCTCTGCATATGTTCGAAGTCCACAGAATGATATGTAGTTTATCCACTTATCTCCAACTGAAAATTAAAAGACAACAAAACCGACGGGATGAGGGAGGTGGAAGAGAGAAAGGAAAAGACCCTCTTTACCTAAAGACTCACATAAATAACAGTTCGCTTTTGACTTAAAAAAAAAAAAAAAAAAAAAAGGCAAACAGATAATGGAAATAAGTTTCTTTAAAAATAGACTTCAAAAGCTGCCTGTGGGCTCTCAGTGCTGCTCTGATCTGCTGCCTGCTCAGAGACTTCCACTTCAGCGAGAATGACCCCAATCTCCCTGGCACAGCACACAAGGGTCTGAACATCCTAAAATAACTGGACTCTGTGACTGTTTTTCTGCAGATCCTGCAGAAAGCAGGCCGGAAGCAGGTGTTTTGTCCGTGCACAGTATGGAAAATGCGTCCTACTTGTGTGCAGTTCAGATTTACACCAAGACCTAGAACGAATGAGGCATTATGCACGCTCCTAGAGTTTGTGATACGTGGGTTTTCATGGTACTCTGATTCCCAACAGGGCAAATTCCAGCAGGCACCCTCGTGGCAAGGAAGCAACTCAGCGTCCTGCTAAGGCAGGTTTTTCCTTTAAGTGTTTCACAACTGCCAGAAGCAAAACCCTGGGTGGGATTCACGGGGGATGCTGAGGGCTCACCGCTCCCAGAAGCGTGACCCCTCTCAGGACAATTTCCAAATAACACAATCCCGAGCAGCTGCAACTGTGCCGTGCTCCTCCCTGGGGTGCTCCCCTCCTCCGGATCGGGGCTGCATCCAGGCGTGAAGTCTGACGAGTGGCCATGGCTCACATGACCCAGCAGACCTCTCCGTGGGATGATGGCTCAGGAGGAGGTGGCTCACAGCCCCACGAGTCCAGAGCACGTGTTGTATTATGTGCTACAGCAGTAACGAGACTTAAACAACACAGAGGAATAAAGTTCTTACCACCCTCTGCCTTCAGCTGAGCCAGGATCGAGTTTTCTCCTCGGCACATGGTCCTGGAAAGAAGGTAGGCAGCCATCAGCACCACTGTGCCTCGAGGCAGCAGTATATGTTGGAGCAGAACCAGGCAAGGTAAATCACAAAACAGATGCCTCTCAAACACCCCATGCAAGCAGGAGGAACAGAGTGCCTCCAGAGCCCATATTTTTCCCAAAAAACTGTTGATACATCAAGGACTGTTTATTTCCTAATGGAGCTTGTACCAACCCAGCATAGGAGCTCAGCAGCATTTTTGCAATGATGGTAAACGTGTGACAAACAGAGCTGCTACCCTCCCTATGTGCCACTGGATGTGTCTCTGTGTTCTGGATGTGAAATCACGTTAAGAAAAAACATCAACATGTGCAGAATGCTGGGTCAGGGAGTTTGTGGGATTAAGGTTGGGCTGGAAGAGCCACAGCTGGCATCTCACTGAGAAACAACCAACCCATGGGCAATTTCTCAAGACTTATGGTTGTCCTTGAAAAAAAAAAGCTCAGGCAGAAGGGTCTGGTTAGGGGGACATGCTGCTTTCCTTCTGCTTCTGTCCCCTGCCCCACTGACCCTTCTGGAGGTGCAGCAGGACACCTGCAGCCCAGCAGATGAGGGAGATTTCACTCTGGGGGGAGCAGTAGTCTCCACAGGCTGACTGTGCCCTGGCCATACCATAACACAGCAGCTTTCCAGTAAAAACATCTTGCCTTGGGCCACTTTGCCCTCCTCTACATCCTGTTCTCAGCACAAGGGCTACCTGGCACTGCTGTGTTTCAGTCCTTCCCATGAGACCTGCTGGGTTGCAAGTGCCTCCCCACATCCATCCCCAGCAGGGGAATCACACTGGGGAAGATGCTACTTCCTTCATGGGGCTAGTGGGAAGAGTTAGGCCAAGTAATGGCCGAAAAGGCAGACTTGGAGACAAATCCTGGTCAGCAAGTCCTGGTTGGATCAGCTAAATGGAAAAAAAGTCATAGAATCATAGAACGATTTGGGTTGGAAGGGACCTTAAAGCTCATCTTGTTCCAACTCCCCTGCCATAGGTTGCCCAAAGACCCATCCAACTTGGCCATGCTGATGGCAGGTGGGGTCTTGGGGACCCCCCACAGCAGGTGGAGGTGTCCAGGGAGGTCTCCAACAGCCCTGCAGTACCTGTAGTTGAAGTGCATGATGGCCTGCAGCGCATTCCCCCCGCCGGTTGAAATGTCTCCTTCAAAGCCAGGCAGCAGCGGGATCACCACGTACACCCGGAAACGCTTGTTTTCCCTGCAACAACAGTTTTGGGGGAGCATCAGCCTGGAAATGTTGCATTAGCCTGGAAATGTTACAGCTTCACACAAGGTGAAATCCCCTTGGTTTCACTTCCCCTGTGCTGACCGACTTGGTTTCCACCCAAGGCTACCACACAAATTTTCAGGGAGCAAAGTGTGAATTTCCAGTTTCAGGTTTCATCACCCACCATCAGTACTTCCATGAGTGCTCCTTCAGGAGGAGAAGGAATAATTTACTCTCAGCAGATTGTGTCTGCCACTGCAGAAGTTTGTTTGAGAACCCCATAGCCCAGTGCCACTGATACTGGTGCAAACTGGAGTACACAACTGGCCTGGCAGAGCACAACGAAGGTCACAGAGCTATCACAGGCAGAAATCCAAAATCTAACCTGACATTCCACTGCCTCCTGGTTTTCAGAAGTCATAAACATCTAAAAAGGTGGGAAAAAAACTCAAGGCACAAGTGAAACATTGATCATTCATGGAAGGCAAGTTATGTCACTGGTACATCAAATGCCACAAAAACTCAGTTCCAGAGTTCCCCCAAACTAACCCATACCCTAATCGTGATCCCATTCAGAACAAAAGTTACAACCACGGCACTGGTTTGGGGCTTTTCTCAAAGCCAACCTCTGGGTTTTCTCCACTGACCAAAGCCAGTGCTCTGCCAGCACTTCCCAGGATGCTGACAATCCCCTGCCCTGCACTCAGGAGGAGGATGATGCTCCATGGAAAGGCGCTGCCACTAGATGGCAAACACAGTTTAATCAGCACAAAATCACTTCAGGAGCTGTCTGAGGATAAGCTGAGTGTGAAGTTTTTGTTAGAAATATTCCTCCCTAGAGCAAGCCATGCCTGTGAATTTAAGGGTGTGGGAAATGTGAACCCTGGGGTCCCATCTGAGCTACGATGGAGATAGTGAGGACCTGAGTGTCTTTAATTTCAACCAATGCTTCCTCCTGTCTATGCTGTGCACTGCAGACTGGCTTTAGTTTGCCAGCAGAGCTCAGAAACAGTTAGTGAGGACTTACCCATACACAAGAGACTGTGAAACCAAGTTTGTTTATATCATGGAAGAGATCTACCAACAAAAGCATTCCCCAAAAAGCAACTTGTTTGTCTAAGGCCAGTGTTTATTAAACTGGTTAGAGAGCCACCCATGAAAAAAAAGAGGAAACAATACTAATAACATTAGTAAAAAATATTTAGTCTAGAAGAGTGAGAAGTATACAGGCTTCACTGGAGACCCTAATTTGCAATTAAACATTTGTGTGTCACCTATGCTGTTTTCCTGGGGCAGTCTGGAACAAGAGCATTATGACAGAAACCATTTAAGTCTGAATTTACTTTTAATCTTAGGCAGTGCCAAGCACTCTGGAGTGTGAAGAAATTGAACCTTATATTCAGTGAGGAATCATCAACATTAAGCTGGCATAAAATTGGAGTACTGGCATAAAATTGGAGTAATACAGAAGTGAGCATCACATCAGGAAATGGGTCACTGAAGAATCTGTGTGACTCCCTCCTGTGCTAGACTTTTTAGTATCTGGACAGAATGACACCCGTTACATAAACTTAATGTAACAGGAAAATCTGAACAGATTACTCTGAGAATTTGCTGCTACCTCAGTAGCATTGCTAATAGAGATGCAAGGGACCTGTGGTAATCAGTCCCCAAAGGCAGGAAAGGCAATCCAGAGTGGCTTCCCAGGGGAACACATCAGCACAGAGATCATAAAATCCTAGAATGGTTTGGGTGGAAGGGACGTTAAAGCTCATCTAGTCCCAACGCCCCTGCCATGGGCAGGGACACCTTCTCTGGGCAACCTGTGCCAGTGCCTCACCACTCTCACAGTACAGAATTTCTTCCCAATATTCAATCTAACCCTGCCTTTTTTCACTTTAAAGCCATTCCCCCCTTGTCCTGTCACAAATGCCCTTGTCCAAAGTCCCTGTCCAGCTCTCCTGTAGCCCCTTTAGGCACTGGAAGGTGCTCTAAGGTGCCATGTCCAGCTGCCTGAGAGCCTTGAGGTTGCAATGCAAACACCAGCAACACCATTTTCAGCAGCACTGGCACCACTCTTCATTTACCCAGGATGAGAAAATACATCTCCCATCTTTTCATCCTTAGCTAATTTCAATTATTTGGGCTATGAATCGCAGCTCACACAGATCACAGGAAACTCCACCCTATTGTTAATGGCACAGGTAACGCCCAGGCCCTCCCAGTTTGAATAGTGCTCCTCTTTCCACAGTGCCTCCAAACAAAGCCTGGCTCGTGGCAGCTCCAGTGACCTTGCAGATACCTCGCACACCCCAGTGGCTGCCTCTGTCAGGTTGGGTGCCTTTACCCAAGTAAGGCATTTCCAAGCTCAAGTGCCAAAAAAAGCAAAATTCCCGTGATCCTGGAGAGAGCACATCTGGGAAAGCAGCCCCTTCAAAGTTCTGGACGACTACAATATGGAAAAAATAAGTAGTGCAAGAATATCTTCCTTTGTGCATGGTGAAAAAGCACATGAGAGATGAAAGGAAGAAATTTAGAAAGTTTTTTGTGTATCAGCCCAGCAAGATCAGGATACAGTTTTAGACCACAAAATACACATCTCTTAAAGAGATACTCCGGGGGAACAACCTTAAGCAGGGCTGCCCAGGATCAAAGTGAAGACAAGCCACTACTTGTGGCATTAATGTTATCACGGGTTTAGGTGTGCTGAAGCAAAAAGAGTGCCTAAAATGTGGTTGGATTTGATCCATCCAGGAACAAACGATGGTCCCCTCGCAACGGCTGGGGGTTGTGAACACCCTCCAGCATGCACCAGAAAGAGTTATTCAAACAATAGCTGAACCCTGCAGTCAAATCCTCAAAATGTGTTTGCTTCCCCCATTTGAAGCCAATCCTCTCTATAGATGATTTAAATAAACCACAAATCCCAGTTCACCCTTCTCATCCATTAACTTGCCCGACCACCCAGTTGAAGGTGGGTCGGCTGCAGAGCAAAGGTGTCACTGAACCAGAGCTTTAAGGACTTGCCTTTAAACAAGTTCCATAGTTAAAAATACATTTGTATCAGGCTACGTCTAGAAAACCACTTTCTGGCTGCAGAGAAACCACTGAGAAGTCTGTCTCACTGCAGTGAACACAAGCATTTGCTCGACTCCATCAGTTCTGCACTGGCACAGCTCTTGCACAGCTGTGTCCATTAAGGTGTTATTTTGCACCACACCGTGGAAATGCACCTGAAAGACTTCCACTGCCTTGTTAAGAACAGGTTACCTGTGAGCTTTAAGAATCCTCTGAGCAATTGCATCGCCGATCTTGTTCCAGACAACTTTGTCATCAGCACAGCTAATAAAAAACTGGTTCTGCAGGAAAAGCAAGCAAAGCTACTGTCAGACACTGCCAGCAACCAACCAAAAATATTTGAATGCTTTGTTTCAGACCAAGAGCAACTAAAGATAGCTGAGTTTGTGTGCCATTGGAGTGGAGGCTTTTTTTAATTATGATTAAATGATATGTGTGTCTGTGCTTGTTTAAAGAATGAATTGGTCCTTATTAATAACACTCCTTAGAAAGTCCATGTAAAGAGCAACCTAAAAAGAGGCTGAAAAAAAATAAAAGAAGAGAATAAGCATCTCCATTCAGCCAGCACTGAGTGTCACTCTGACACAAGAGATTACTGCAGCTGAAGGCTGAATGGATGAAGAGCAGCCCTGTGAGTGGGAGGTTTGGGCATGCACAGGGGACACTGCAAAGCCACAGAGGGGACAGGAAGGCTATTGCACAGGCCATGAAAGCTGCTGGCAATTTTGCAAATAGCTTTATAAAGGAGAGGTCTATTTTTTCCACCTCATGATCAGAAGGCTGCCAGGCTAAAACCCATCAGTTTGGTCTGAAGACCACTGAAGTTAATGGAGCTCTCTAAATTCACAAAAAATTAAGACCAAACCACAAGAAGTAGAATGACCCTCCCCTGATGGAGGCAAGCCATGCCCAGAGGATCAGGACCCTCCTGCTTCCCCCCACTGCCACTCACTTCTATGTAGATGTAGTGCTTGCTGTTCTCTATCACGCTGATGTAGGCTTTGTGGATGGACTCCTCGTGGTATTTGATGCCAGCTGACCAGTCAGCAGCAGAGCGGATCACCTGCAGGGCAAGAGAATAACACCTTTGGCTCAGTCCACCCAGGACACCTCCACAGCATGGCAACTGAATTACTCCAGAGACAATGCTCTTCCCTGGCAGTGCTCACCCGTCAGGATTTCACTAAATAAGGTAATACATGCAACATCTGTACTGCATTTGTAATCAGGGGAAAGAATGTTCAGAAATGGCATTAATGCCCAATGTTTTGATCAAAGACACCAGTGTCCTGTTCTGTTGCTGTGTTCCTGCCCCCTCCCACGTGAGCACCTCCAGATGCAACAGAAGTAGCACAATGGAATTTTGTTCTTGCTTAAGGGCTTATGATAAACTGCTCTTAAAACAACCTGAGTTTCCAAGCTTTAGGTGTGCACATCCCATTAGTGACCTCCTGCCCAGCACTTCAAAGCTGGTCTCCAGCTGGGTCAGTGTGTTTTTCCCACAGTGTGTTTTTCCCTGTGCAGGGGAATCGTGCAGTCAGTCTGATAACACAGGCTGTATATCTTTGTCCTCGCACTCCAGATCATTTGTTTCTTCTGCCTAATTCTTGCACAAGCCATCCCATTTGTGATGATATGATTTTGTAAAATTTATAGTTCAGCTGCCCACGTTTATTTACTAGTTTTTACTGGAAATCCACTTTTAAAGTAGATCCTGCAAGATCCCCTGGGCATGTTCTGCCCCTCCCTCCTGCAGTTTTTGTGCAAGAGACGCAAACCAATATGAGAAACAACCTTTGTTCGTGCTCTATGCCAGGCTGAGCAAGCCCCACAGTGGCCAGCATCCTGTACCCCCCAGCCAGATATGCTGTGGCACCTCCTCCTCCTGAACTTTGAGTCAAGAGGAAGCCACACTATGCCCCAAGTGACGTCTTCCTAGATGGAAATGTAGTTTTTCATTAAGTGTTGGCAGAGTATGTGCTTGGGGGAAACAATTACTCATGATTAGCCTCTGTCTTTAAACATTGTCAAGACAAAAACCATCGAAACAATAGCCTTAAAATATCTCAATACAGCCATTATACCAGCACTCAGGGCCAGTCCCAGACAGGACAAGACCCAAGTGCTGAGGATCTGTGAAATCTGTGTGTCAGAACATGCAAAATCCTCATCTCTTGGGATTAATCACATGTTGGGATCAACCACTTTTTTCCTTGGAAATCCCTCCCATGGATTTCTTCCAATGCTCCATGTCCAGCTTCTGCCTTGCTCCATGTTATTCCCCCTGTTCCCCCAACATCCCTGATACCCTGTCCCTGAGCTCTGCTGGCCACAGCATGGCTGAAGACTCTCAAGGGCTAATTAATTACCAGTAGTAAGCAGCAGGTAAGGATTTGGCCCTTTGGTCCAGGTGCTGCTTGCCTGAACCAAATCAATTCTCTTGTCTCCAGAGCACCTCTGGAAGTGGCACTGATGGGCATTGCTGTTAAGGAGTACACAACTCCTGAGCTAATTCCTTCACCTGGACAGGAGTTTTCTTCCACAGGCCACTGAAAAACAGACCCTGCAACTCTCCTGTTGGGCTGCTCTCTTGGCCAACAGGAGGGAGCACTCCTTTCCAGCACCGTGGATTCCCAGCATATCATCTGCCTGCCCTTCCCTGCCTTCCTCTTCACTCCTCCACACCCCAGGGTACCTGCTGTAACAGGGCCATCTTCCCTCTGCCTCATCCCAAAACAATGTGATGGCTCATTCCAAAAAGCTGGCACAGCATCACTCAAAAAGCTTATGCCAGGTGCAACCTCGAATCCATGTGTGGAGGGAAGAAGAGGTGTCAGAAGGTGATGGCTGGGACAGCAGAATGGGTGTAAAGTGTTCCAGCTTGGACCTGAAAGCTATTTTCAATAATTTTAAAAGGTCTGCAGCCACAGGGAGAGGTGAGGACGTGGCAGGACAAGGCCACCAACAGCAGCACTGCATGGGTGAGCCTGCATCCCAAGGAGCCAAAGCTATGGCACTCAGACACATACACACACCTGGAAGTTTCCTACACAGGCCTTCCTATATCACTGTGTTCCATCTCACGCTTCTGGGCATTTCCCCCTTCCAGTCAAGGTATTTAAAGTGAGCTGGTTCAAACCCAACCTATCTCCTATCTGCTAGGGAGATCTCCTAGGGAGATCTCCTAGGGAGATCTCCTAGGGAGAAAAGGCCTCACACTGCCCAGCAGAGCACCTCCCACCCAGAGCTGGCGTCTCCATGCTCCTGCCTCTCCTCTCCCCTCCCTCAAGCCTCTCAATAGCTTGTCATCCCTTTAACTTCTCTAACCGATACAGGGATAATAAATGTGATGTTTGCTGAGGGCCAGTGCATAAACCCCAAACAATGTGAGCTCTCACGCAGACTTCAAAGAGGTAAGGGCGTCAGCTGCTGCCAGAGCATTAAATTTTCATTGCATTTCCATCAGGAACAGGATGTTGCCTCACCATGTCACATCTTTTGCAACGCTGGCTTTGGCAGATAACTGCAAACCCTGGAGTGGAAATAGAGAGATGGAAAAAAACCTGGCACTGCCTCTGGCAAATGGCTATTTGACTCTTGCAAAAATCGATGTACTCTTGCAAAAAGCACGTTGCTGTTGCTTCAAATGAAGTTCAAATGAAAAAAGACGAGACCATTCTCGACTCCTTTTCCTCCTTCCCAGCCTGTACCTCCACAGCCTTTCCCACACACACTGCATTCATCCTCCCTGCCCAGGGGAAAGCCCTTGTCAGTGCTGTTCCTGCTATTCCCACTCTCCCAAATATCCTGCTCCTCTCCTCTGACAAAGGAGAGCAAAACCAGATGGTACAACGAGGTTTGGAATCTGTTGCTGACAGGTCAGTGGTTCGGGCTTGCAGCAACGTTGCAATCCCCACGGATCTTTTGTGTTTTCCCTTCCTCTGATCTGCCCACAATTGAAGACAGATTTGCAAACAAGGCTCAGAAACAAGAAACCCAGCAGCCAGGCTTTCCTCAATCACCCCACAGCCAAGGACAGTCCTGGGATGATGGATTTTACCTTAGGGCAGTAACTTCTGCCTATAAAGTCCCTATACAGCATCAGAATGAGAATAATATGAGCTTGGTTGTTGGCCAGTTACAAGGATTCAATATCAAGAACAGGAACGATATTGCTCTAGTTTTTCTGGATTAAAAAGCTGGTGAAAGATTTTAGGGTATCTGCTTATTTCTGCACTGGACTGTACCACTGAAAGGAGATGTGAGCACCTACAACCCTCAGCTCTGAAACCAATAAAGGACAGGGATGAGGTTGATATTCCCATGACTGGAGGAAAGAAGCCACACAAGGGTGCCCTGATGTACACCCTGGGAGCTCCAGAAAAAGGCAACCAGGAAGGGGAGTTCAGGCCCAGGCTGCAGGTGTCCTGTCTCCCCCCCTACTTGCAACAGCCAAATCTGAAACCTCCATCTGGAGGAGAGCCTGAGCTGCTCATGGACCCACAGCGGGACTTCAGGGATGCTCATGGCACTTGTGTCACCTGGGGACTGATGGAAACCAGGCCAAGTGAGGGCATTATGGAGCAGACAGTCAAAATTTCAGTATGTGCCTGCAAATCCCTGCCTCTGAGCTCGAGGAGGTCACCCAGAAACCATAACCCAGCTGCAAGCAGCCTGGGGACCTGCAGCCAGGTAGGGCAGACAAGTCCCCCTCACTGCTTCCACCAGGCTTGGTGCTACAAATGCTCTTCCCCACCAGTTTTCCCTCATACCAGGAAGGCTGGTACATAGCAGGACAACATGTTTTCAGCCTAATATCATCTAGTTTTATTTATATGGCTACATGCAGGGCTGGGCTACTCTGACAGATCTCTAAAAGCTGCGATTTGACATAAATTAGCAATGAGCAAGGCAGTTTCATATGAATAATTTACAAGACAAACCTGCTCCTTTTTTGCTGTTTATGGCATCACTGAGAACAGTCCCCTCGTTTCCTGGATGTATCAGTTATTTGCAATGCCCCAGAAATGTGGTGGCCAGGCTAGTTTTCCAACGGCTCCCCCATCACTCAGCACCGGTGTCTGGGGCATTCCACAGTCACCATTTGAGCTTCATCCTCCTCTCCCATGGGCTGATGCCCTGAGCCAGCAGCTCTGCAGTATGGACTGAAGGGATGTTGAATCTATGTTGTTCTCAGTTTAATTTCTCCTTTGGGAACCGCTTCCAGTTCTGTAATCAGCAGAGCTTACCTTTTTGCTACAGCAAACCCCACGATTTAAAAGTTGCAGCTTATCTTGTGGTTAGAATGTGCTCAGGGGACACAAGCCCCATCACTTCCCTGAGAACAAGACTTCCCAAAAAGCTGGTGTCACAGACACAGCCAGGGAGGCATTTACAGCCATAAGGAAGCACACTGGTTCCTGAAGGAGGTTATTTCCCAACAGACTGCAAGCATTGCTTTGGAGGTCGATGTAAAACACCCCAGACCCATGAAACAAGATCCCCGTGCTGGCTATCCCTCACACCATGCAGGGAGGAGCAGACAATGCCCTGGCAACCCACAAACCCAGAAAAAAGCATCTTATTTCACTAAGCTTTCCCAAGTGTTGCTGTTTTCTGGGCAGACCACTCCTTACAAAGAGCAAAAGCATGCGTTTTTCCTGGTTTTGGTCTAACTTCTCTTACTTCATACATCTTTTATCCACACAATGGTTTTGCTACTTCAGCATAACTATTTTGACTTTGTACTCTTCAACAAGTTCATATTACTGCTGGGTAGCAGGAGTGTTCAATACATGCACTCAGTAGAGCTAACTGGGTTTTAAATAGAGGTATCTTGGCAATTCTGACTGTGAGGATGATTGTCACAAACGAGACTGTGGGCTGGCTGTGTGGAACTGCACAGGACCCACAGGGCTGCCTGGCTGCCTAATAAAATGCAGATGAAGTTCAAGGCAGAAAACAACAGCCCCAAGACTCCACTTAATGCTGGGCTCTTGCTGACCGCTGCCTGTCTCAGTGCCTGTCAGGGTCTGGTATACTGCTCTAAGACCGGAGATAAATACTCAGTGACTCAGTAACCTCAACCCATCAGGCCTTCCCAAATCATAAAAAACAAATGTCAGGTGCTAGACAAAGAGCAGCAGAAAACAAACCAGAAAACCCACACAGCTATATTGAAGTCATGGTGCTCCCACATCTTGAGTACTGCATACAGCTTAGTCCTCTTACCTCAGAGGTGGAGGTATAAATTAATGCTTCTCTACTGAAGGAGTTGCATTATTTTATTGTAATTGAGGATCTGAGCACCTAATCTGTGACTTAAATTAAGTAAGAGTTTTGCATTTTATAATTCAGGTTTTGCAGAGGGTCTGTCAGGAATCAACACTTCCTTCTGAGATGATGCAGAACAAGCTGTGAGTATGTGAGCAGGAGACCATCAACACTCACCTGGACTGTGGCAGGAACAGCATCAGGCACCTGATACTTCAACTCATTAGCAGTTTGCTGAGATTTTGGCAACAGGAATGGGTAGGACAGGGATCGGTATTTGGGCTTCATAATCTGCGCAGGGGAAAAAATTAGACAAAAAAAATCCTTGAAGAGATTGCAACATATCACAATAACATAAAGAAATAAAATGCATGCCTACAGAGGGTATGTGGATGATGCAGGGCTGTGTTTATCTCCATGCCCCCAGCAGTGATTCCCACATCCCACCTTGGTGAAGTTCCAGCGCTGGATGAAGTGCCGGGCGATGTCACGAGCAGCTTTGCCATGCACCACAGAGGAGATGTCGTGCCAGGGCATCCTTGGGGTGGTGTATCTGTCAATGAAGTCTACAGGAAAGGAAAGCACATTTCAACTTCTCACACAAAGGACAGGAATGTGGAAAAGTGCAGCATCCTTCTCCTCTAAAGTTTCTGAGACACACCACTGAGAGCCAGGCAGGTGACTTATGCATCCACGTGCATGGACCGTAACTTCATAACTGGCCCTAGAACCTCTCAAAGTGAGTTTCCTGATTTTTCCTGGCAGACAAACCAAACCAGCCTCATTACCTCTGGCTTAGAAGCAGGAAAAATATGGTTTGAGACTGAAAAGATATGAAAGAGAGTTTGGGGGAATGCCAAGTAAAAAGACTTCCAGGGTGCAAAGGCACTTACCAGCAAAAGGCTTGTCAAGTTGAACCCAGTCTTTAAAGACAAAGTTGCAATAGTCTTTTCCATGCCAGAACCTGGTTTCTCCAAGCAGTTCACCAACACCTGTCTTCAGGCTGCGGATGGATCCTTTATCTGTCCCAGGCAAACCAAAAATCAAAGACATGCTCCAGAGTCACGGCCGACCCTCGCACACGGCTGGTGAGAGACTCACCATGACAGAACAGCACTGTGGGACCTGCCAGTCCCAGGCAGCTGAAGCTGATTTCTCCCTAGTCTTCCTGTTGCTTTCAATGGATGCATATTAATATTTTTTCTTCCCTATTTTAATATTTGTTATACAATCAGAGCAGGTTATATATATAAGAGTCTGTTACAGAAACAAAAAGCAGATGCTGAATTCTCTACACACTGGACGAAAAAAATCACCCTATAATTTCTCTGTCCCCGGTCTTATGACACCTAGATATTCCCATCTGGCAGAATCCACATCATGCATATCATCTACTTCATATATTTTAAAATACTAATGACCTAATTCCACCTTCTCTGCTAGAGTGTTTACTACTTTGCCTCTCTAGCAGGGTGTATCTCCTCTAACAGAACTAGTCTTTATTAACTGGAATGAGATGTTTATGTTCTCTCATTAAGTATTGTGGGTTTTCTCTGTTTTATTTTGCTTTTTCCAAGCAAAAATGTCATATTTTGATACAAGTTTACATGTTGAACAAATGGATCCTAAGTTCCAAAATTCACTGTGATTAAAAATGGTCTAAAATACTGTAGGCAGGGATACTCTCTTCTAACAGGATCCGTTTTACAGAGGACATGTTTTTGTGCAGTGAACTCTTTTTCCTCACTCTTTCAAAACCCAAAAATGTTTGCCTAGACCATAAAAAGTTAACTGGTATTATCTCCTGACCCGGAGAGCAGCCTTCACCTACAGTACCAAATACCAGTGCAGTAATTCTATAATAACACACCAGGAGCATGTTAACCTGACCACATCACCAGGTAACCATAAAACAAACAAAACATAAAACCCCTTAGCACAAAAAAAACCACCTTTCAACACTCAACAAAATATACATTGGCAGCAGCACAAGACTGGGTTACACAAAGCAAGCCCTGCCAGCGCTGCTGTGGCCCCACCGAGCCGAGCTGAGCCAAGCCATGCCAAAAATGCCATGCAATAGGTATGCACCACAGCTGCCCTGGGGAGCTTGAGCTTCTAGTGAGAGTCCAGGTGGAGCTGGGGAATCACTGACTCGACATGCTTGAGTGGGAATGGGTGGGACACACCATCCGGCCAACACACACTCCATGTGCCGAGCTCCGATGGCTGTACAGTGACTCATGAGTGAGCACGAATGACCACAGGGCAGACTGCACATCACTGCCATGAAGCAATGGAAGTCCCTGGTTACCTGCCACTACTTTGTAACCAGTATTTTATAATTGGCAATAAATGCCAGAGAGGAAGGCATTTGAAAGAGGAAGATGTTGAAGAACTGCTCCTCACTCTGTACCAGAATTCGGGCATCTTGGTGAGGTACCACATTGGAACAGGCCCTTCCAACACCCATCCGGAGATGGAAACAGCTCAGTGCTCACAACCACCCAGCTCCTGTCTCAATTGAGTGTGCTTTCCTTGATTTTAGTTAGGGGCAAAAGAGGGAACCCAAGTCTTTGTCAGAACATAGGTCTGTCAGCAGCTACTCTGCTGTTTCCTCTCTCTGTTTGCATGTCTTCCTGCATCAGGCTTACTTTTAAAATATCCAGTGCAGAAGTTCCCAGTTCCAGTAACAAGCCCTTTCCTTTGCAGGATGAGAGCTGCTGAAATCATCATAAACAGAGCTATTTCCTCAAACGTTCCCTGCTGTTATTACTGCAATTTTTTTTGTTTGTTTATTTGTTTGGGGTTTTGTTTGGATATGGGTGTGTTGTTGTTTTGGTTTGGGGTTTTTGATTATTACTTATTTATGCTGCAGTATTTGTAGTTTCTGGAGAAGGTTCTTCTGCCAGGATGCCTGAAGAGGAGGGATAAGGATGCTGGGAGAACAACAAGCAGCAAAGGCTGATCCTGGCACCCAACCTAACTCTCACCAAAGTTATAATGCAAAACCATCAGCAGCTAAAGCCTGAAGGGATCCGCACCTCTGCCTTCCTCCACTTACCCTCCCGAGGCTCAGCGAGCCCCTGTTTGGATTCACTGTGGTGATGGAACATTTTCAGGTGGGGCCTTAAACTCTGGATTATATTCGGTTGACTCCTAGTGGGGTTAGGGAAACCTGCAGAAAGTCAAGATGCTCTATTCACGGCAAAAACACACGTCCACTTCTGCTACCCTGGTGGCTGCTCCTGCCTGAGGACACCTGGCACGGCAGGAGCTCAAACGAGACGTCTCTTTGCTGGAACTACAAGTGACCAACAAGCAAAAGACCAGATTCAAGACTCAGCTGGTCTTAAACCAAAGAGATGTAATGAAGTACAAAGCCACGGCTGTGTCCTGAGCTGGCTGCAACCAATGCTCCAGCAAGGCTTCCTCCGGCCAGAGGCAGGAGTAAGACCTGCAGGGAGGGATAGGAATTCCAGTAAATTCCCACTGAGAGCAACATACAGCTTCAGGAGCTGAGGACTTTTTCAGGAAGGACTCCATGCTGGAACAAATGTCAAGCTGATCCTTGTAATTTTAGCACTGAAGCTATTTTTATTAGGAGAATTAAAAGCTGCATTTCAGTATTTAACTGTTGAATAGCCTCTCCTCTCTAGTAAGTGGGTAAATTGGAGATGTTACCATTTAAATGAACTGATTTAAACGTAGGTTAACACTAGCCTATGAGAGGGCATAACCTCACTGAGAAACTGTTTTGCTTGCAATAATAAATGCAAGCTGAAAAATTAAAGATTCAATTCTCTCCTGCAGAAACAAACACTTTCCAACAATATAAACTTTAAGAACCATGTATCATGTCACCTGATGGCTCACGACAATTGCTAAATAAAAAATCCACATGAAACCTTTCCTGTGTATTTTGCAGTGACACAAATTTACATGTTGACTATACATAGCCAGTATTCTGATGGTTTAGAAACTCATCAACTCTCCTTCCTTATGAAGAACACATTACCCTAGAAATCATGTGAATGTGCACATACACCCACCCACCCACCTCCACATACACTTTATATACATTGTTTAGTTGAACATCATCACTTACTTGAGTCACTGTCGATGCTGCTGACGCTGTCAGCATGGTGCATGCCGTGTTTGTGGAGATGCTTGTAAATACTGAACCTTGAAAACTTTCTGGATTTTCCTACTCCTTTCATTTTTGATATGTCTGGGGCATCATCAGTGTTCTTCTCAAACATGTGGCTTTCTGGGGACAGAGTTTGAGACTGCAGTGGGACACGCTCAGACAACTCCGCTGCAGACTTAAGAGGCAGAAGACATGGCTGTAGGTGACGTTCAGACAAGTTCCCCTTTAACTACAGAATATTGTGCTTATCAATGCTTAGAAACAACCACGAGCCAAATTTTGCTCTGTGACAGACACACCTTGGTGGCAGGCTTTTTGGGGAGAGCCTGTACTGAGGAGGCACTCGACAGGAAACCCCAGTAATACCAGCAGCATTTGATTCCATGAATTTACTCAGGATTATTACTCCCCTTCAAATTCTCTTCAACCTAGACCTCTCAAATTTGTAGAGATATGTGGTTGTATACAGGCCCAGGTTAGCAGCTGCTGAGGGCACAAGTACTGAGAATTTCAGAGCACTATGTGAGTGCTTACTGTGCATTTTCAGCTAAGTTTTATTAAGAAAAGAAAGGTTGCCCAGAGAGGCTGTGGATACCCCATATCCCTGGAAGTGTTCAAAGCCAGGGTGGATGGGGCTTCGAGCAACCTGGTTTAGTGGAAGGGGTCCCTGCCCATGGGAGGGGGCTGACTGGACACAATCTTTAAGGTCCGTTCCAACCAAAAACATTCCAAGATTCTGTGATTCTAAGAACACAGACTTCAAGTGTGAATGCTGCTCCAAGCTCCAGGAGGAGGTCCAGGACAGCTCCAGCTGTCTATCTCCATGCCCTAACAAGGGCTGGTCAGCATCCAGCCCTAGATAGTCACTCAGTGCTCAGACACTCCCTCTTTCTCCATCTCTCTCCCTGTTTGTCTCTGAACCTCCAGAACCCAACCCTATGCTCAGACGGGGACACAGCCTGTTCACCCCCACTGCACACCTGCTGCACAGGTGCTGACCATGGCCACTTACTGCCAGGTTGGCCGTGGACACCGACTTCACGGCCGTCATTCGTTTCACGCTGCCCACGTCGGTCAGACGGTGCTCGTCGTCGTCCCACCGGCCGTACGCCAGGTCGATGCCGCCCACAAACGCCACCGACTGGTCCACGATGACCAGCTTCTCGTGGTGGGCCCAGAGGTACACGGAGGAGGACACGTGGTCTGGGTGTCTCATCACCTGCGAAGAAAACCCGCACTCCAGCTCAGCATCGCTGCCAAATTTAAACCCCTCCTGGCAGAGAGCTGTCCAGCTTCTTTTTTGGCACTCGGGAAACTCTGGAGTTGTTAATGGGTGCATACACACAGACTGCTTGATTACTGAAGCTACTCAATTCCCCACGAGCTAGGTCAGCCATACTTGGCAGGCAGGTGCTTCCCCACAACACAGGTATCCCCCAGCAGCAATGGTTACTGATGTTGGGATAGGTCACACTTAACAACGACAGTTTCATAAGAGGACCTTAGTCAAGGAAACTGTTTCAACAAACCATGCTTTCAGTAGAGCTGTAATAGCTGAGCTTTCAAACACAGAGCCTGCTCTAAAAGAAAACAACATATTGGTGATCTGAGTCACTTCTTTGGTTGTTGCCACCACACAAGTGAAATGAGAAGTTGGCTGGGGTTTTTTTCCGCCATTTAAAATCGGCAAGTTGTTTGGCATTTGTTTAAGAGATTCTTTTTGACATGTGTTTATGGTACAGAAATTTCTATATCTAAGCATACAGTGTATAGTTTTATTTTTTTATGTTAGAGCCATTGGACCAGCTTTCTGAAGAAAAAGCTATAGATTTTCATCTGGCTGCTCCCAAAACCTGTAACACAGATAAAGTGTATCTTCCAGTTACATCTTCTGGTCTTGCTGCGAAGATGATGGTGAATGAACGCTACCCTTCACTGTCACAACTGATCAAGTGACAGTAAATCAATTATTCTAGCATAATGTATATCTTATTGCTTCTTAAGATGTATGTATCTCTAATTTTAAGAGACTGGATCTAGCCTTATCTACTGGCTTGTCTGCCACAGCTCATTTTCTGCTTGGTGCCGAAACAGCAGTGTAACAGCACAGGACAGTGCAAAGCTGTTCATCTGTGATGGAAACATTAACATATCCAGTGATGACTCTCATCATTCATGTCTGAAGAGAAATGCTGAAATGAGGCAACATTCTCAAAGTGTAATTTTCCATCTGATGTAACCCCATTAACTTGTCACACGAAATATGCTTCCTGTGAATTAGACAAATAGTTGCTTTGGCAAATATAAACTAGGCAATTTTATGTTCCACTGAGATCTACAGAAATTGAGTTGTAGTCACTACACGGGTATGTCTTAGACTATTCCCACTGTAATGGTGGGAAACACTCTTCCAGTTCACACCCAAATACGCTGGGGTCAGCACTAGCCATCAAGAACAAGTAAATGCAAACGTCCTCCTTACAGCAGCGTGCACTTACCTTGATGTTTGGATGGAGGCGCATGAGCGTCCGCTTGCTGTATTCACTGTTGATCCCCAGGGCAAGCTCCACCTCTTTGTACAGCATAACAAAAATTCTCACTCCTTGTTGCTGTCAGAAATAAAAAGGAACACATGGCATGCAGGCATGTCAATGGATACAGTCCATTTCTGAAGCGAGGAAAACCTAAGAGGCAGTAAGTGTGTTGTGCCTGCAGATGGAAAGGCAGACTGATGTTACCTGCCCTTGATTATGCCCTTTCACACCCACCATGGTGACCCCACAGCCTGGAAGGACCTGCACTGCTCGGGAAAGCTCTTCAGCTCCCTGAGGAGGGCTCAGTTTGTGTGTGAAGAGCTGAGCTATGCCAAAGCCCACCAACAGGTCATTCCTACAGTAGCTCCTTTTACACACCCTTCAAGGTGATTTTGCAAACATGATTCACTCCATGTACAATCATGCTGCACACCTGCACTGAAGTTCAGTGTTCTGCTGCCTCATGTTGCCCTGAGGTTTGCCCATAGTTAACTGTCTCTGCAGGATGATGAGACCCGTGTGGTCCCATGGACATCCCTCACCTAAAGGGGATGCTGCCAACTCAAAACCAGCAAAGAAGTTCTTTCTGCTGGTAGAGGTAAACAAGCTCCTGGAATACAATGAGCAGTGCTAAAAAGATGGTGTTTCTTGTGACCAGCATGGTTATCTGTGGGAGGGTTTCTAAGCACACTGTTAAAGCACCTTCAAATGTGCCAAGTACGCCCCAAATCTTGGAAAATACTGGTCACACACTGGGACACCTTCACTTGCCATAAATCAGCATGGATTAAAAATGTGCACTGGAGTTTGAAAGCATAAACTTGGGACCTAAACATTCCACAGCCTTTTGAATTCCTATTCCCATTAAGCAGCTACTGAGAGCTTAGGCAGTCTCTAATCTAAAACTAAATCTCTAATCTAAAACTCTGATCTAAACCTGCCCTCTTTTAGTTTAAAGTCACTCAAAGTTAAAGTCCATGTCCATATGGACTCCTGCCCTTCTACCACAGCAAGAGTTCAAGAGATTTCCCAGCCATGCTTTACCTTCTGCTTTACTGATCTCATGGGGCAAACTCTGTTGAGCAACAGTGTTATTATCGGTTGAGTTACAGCCCACACTCATAAACACACCACAAAGTTCTCAGCCTTTCCCTTCCTTCTAAATTACATATATCACATGGAGAGCATGAGACAGCAACAGGCCTTTGACTCCACCAGGAACTGGGCAGTCATAATGCAGGCTGAAGTGACCCTAACTTGGGGCAATCAGAGGATCACAGAATCACAGAATGACCTGGATTGGAAAGGACCTTAAAGATCACCTAGTTCCAGTCTCCTGCCATGTGCAGAGACACCTTACACTAGATCAGGTTGCTACAAGCCCTGTCCAACCTGGCCTTGAACACTTCCAAGGATGGGACATCCTCAGTTTCTCTGGGCAACCTGTGCCCAGACTCTTTCAGTCTGAAGCCACTGAAGTTTGAAGGAAGCTACCCTCCTGCCTCCGAGCTCTTCCAAACCCAAATAGGGGGTGCAAATCAAAACACGCAATTTTCTGAGGCCATCTGAGGCTTGGCCAACTTTAACTCTCATCTCTACCAAACTAAACAGTGCAAACATTGTGGTCCCAGTATGACCCTATAACTGGGTGGGTGCACAGGGCTCTCTGCAGGGTGAGGGTTGCAGCTGGAGCTCACTTACTGCCTTCCTCTTGAGGATGCAGTCCAGCCGCCAGCGATTTCCTTCCACAACCGGTCGTTTCATGAAGATTTCTGGGCTCAGCCTAAGATAAATGAGTGGAAAAAAATATAGCATATGTAGCCTGCAAACAAAGCACTGGCCTAAATAATCAGCCTGGGAAGCAAAGAAATCAAAGTTTAAATAAAGTGGATGGGAAGGCTTATGTCCCAGAGTGATGCATTCTCCAATATCCTGCTCTTTGTTCTTTAATAACAGAGCATTACAGAAGGCAAGGGACGAGTCCAGCACATTCATCTTAGTATTTAACAACCCACGAGACCAAGTTTAACAGTGATGTGTAAATAGGGAAATTTGGGCTCTATCTTTGAAAGAAAGATGCAACAAAAGAAAATCCCAAGGTAGATTTGAAAGAAATGTCCAGACGTAAATAAATGAGAGTGGGATTTCAGTTCACCTGTACTTGGGCTATCTGAGCAGCACAGATTTGTACTGAATTTTCCTTCCTGCCTAAAGACAGAGCAATAGGATCTCTCAGTAGGACATTTTATTGATTGATCACTTAATTATTTCTTGTAATCCTTAATGCTATCTCATCTACTGCCTGCAGAGCAAGGTGACAGAATTTCATTCCTTTACTTTTGTACCAAGCATGGGAACTTCTGCTTGAACAAAGCATATTGCTACATCCTAAAAACATGCATCTGACAACAGCATTCTTATCTTATACTCCAAGTTTCAGGAGTTTTGGAATTCCATGGTACACTAACAATTGTCTGAATAAAACACTAAGTAAGAGACAAGGGGTCTGAAATTGGATGCTTCTGAATTGCCATCTGATGTTGCATATGGGGATCCAGGAGCATTGGGCTTAATTGTGGTCAAGGCAGGAAACAGATTTATCCCAGAAAATGCTAACATCATATGTAGCTTTCTCATAATAATTTCCACCTAAGAACTGATTCTCCCAGTTCCTAGAGGCAGTGGATAAGAAGCAAGAAGTTTGTTTCACAGATGGAGAAAGATAAGCACAGAGACAAGCCCAAGGTGAAGAGGACATCTGAGTCATATCTGGCAAGCCTCCCACCCCCATGGTCCAGGCTGGCTCAGGCAGATTAACCTGCACAAAGGCAAGACAGGGGCAGTCACAACCAGTACCCAGACAAGAAACTCTGCCAGAGGCTGTGAGAACACCCTTTCCTGCCTCAAACAGGAACGAGAGCACTGCTTAAACACATTGAATCACTAGTTAAGTAGTGGGCAGAGCCATGTCCTTCGGCAGCCAAACAGCTCAGAAAGGGCAACAAACCTCCCCTCATCCATTATCTTGATTGTTTAAGAGCAGACCAAAATCCCAGCACCACAGGATGCTTTCACTGTTGGCATGAGCCTTCCCAAGACAGCGAGGAGCTGAAGGGAGGATTCCATGGCAAGAACACTGCTGGGGGGGTTTGAGCATCCCTGTTCCCTCAGATACTGAAGGTCATTTGTGCCCCTCGGGTCTGCAGCCATTTACACTCCCGATGAGCACCTCACACCGCAACACTGGCAATTCAGGTGGTGCCTCCACGCAGTTTCAGGCATTTCCATGGAAGGAGACAACCAAGCTGTTGATGTGAAGCATGCGCTTTTGCTGCCAACCCTCCTGAAAAGGCCTTTGAATACAACACAAGGAGAGGTTCGGGTGTGCTGCCAAACCATCTGGCCGCACGGCTCGCTGCCATACTGTAGGGCCCCCGAACAGTGCCGCATTGTCGGCAACGCCCCGGGAGAGACAGCTGGTCAACACCCAAGCATGCGAGTACGAACCACCAATCTGTGATGAAAATCTCCTCCTTAGCAGCTTCCATGGCATTGGCGACATCCTCAAAGTACCACTTCGCATTTACATACCTGCAAAAGCAAACACAGCGTGAAGGTTTTACGTTTCCTCCCCTTCATTAATCAAAGTATGCAGCTGAAGAGAGACGGGGTTCTTCTGTGTCAGTGCCGTTTACATTCTCTTCTCAAAAGCAAACACAAACCTAATAGCAAGAATCAGGACGACACGCAGGGAGAATTCAATGCTGCTATTAGTAGCTTGGTGAAACAGCACAATAAGAGGTTATTAAGTGCCACTTGGCACTTCTGCCAACCACACACAATATTCCTGGATTTTGCTCGAGGTTCAAGCCAGGTGTGTCCCTCAGGACAGGATGGTGGTGTTTTCTCTGATTTATGGAAACTACTCGGTCAGTGGTTGCTGCAAGGCAGAAGCTGCAGCAAAAGCACCTCAAGGTTTTGCTTCCAGCTAGAATCCAGCTTTTGAGGTGCTTCTGGGCACACCTCAGTGCAGCCAGGTTGCACTGCAGATGGAAGGATTACTCACGGGACTACTGTGTGCATAACGCCCAGTCACCCTCAGACTATACCCAAATTTGCTTTTGTTGAATCTCTTTTATTCCCTTTATCCTTACAATGACAAATACCAAACGTGTTCAAATTCCAGTGAAACCTAATGTTAGCAAATGCTATTAGCTTTGACGCAAACAGAAGCAAAAGCGCTCCTGTCACCAGCCCCGCTATTCCCTTCCCGGTGGAGAAAAACTCAGTTTTTTTGCAACTTCTCTAATTATCATCAGTCCCCACGGCTACCAAAGGCCACCAGCTCTGTCCCTCAGAGCTGGGGTGATGCCAGCAGGTGACAGCACCCACAGCACCGAGCCTCCCATGGCCTTGTCACGCTCCTCACCACTTGGCCAGCGTGTTCTCCTGCACGGCCGCGTACGAGCCGAAGCGATGCTCCGTGAGGAAGTCCTTGCCGTGCTTCCGAATGAACTCGTCTATGCCCTGCCTCCACCACTGGGCATGTCTGTAGCTGTTACACTTCAAAATCAGCGACCTGTAAAACAGAGGACGCGCAGGGCAGGATGCTGGAGCCACTTGTGCTTAATTGGGCTGCTCCTCGTCGTCTATCCGTGTTGGTAAATGCATCTGCATCAGTCATGTTTTATTTAAGCAAAAATTAAGGGCTTTGCTTTGCTGTTTTGTTTGCAAAAGAATACACAGCACTGAGCTGTTCCGACTGACTAACAGCAATGCACTGCCAAGCATAAAATACCCAGATTTAAATTAATAGCATCAACTTTGGAGTTGGAGCCAGCTAATGTTGTATTTTTTAAGAGATGAATTTACACTGTGCACTAACATAAAAATATTAAGTATCTCTTTATCCCAACTGGCATGTCTTTTGGGTAATACTTCATTGGGATGCAGAAAACATATCCCTGCTTGCAACATAAAAGGAACCCAGAGCACCTAGAAAATTACCTAAGCAATTGCTGCCAAACCAGGTTGTACAACTCAATGTGCACCATGCCCTCAGGCCCCAGCAATAACCGCAGGGATGGACAAACAGCAGCTGAGGCTCCAAATGCCTCATTAAGATATCAGAAATGATCAGCATTACGGGTCAAATCCCCACAGGTCTGAGCACACCAGCAGCAGCAGCCCAGCAGGAAGCGGAGCTGCACCATCAGCCCAGTGCCTTGTTAATCCCTCCTCCTGCAGAGGAACATCGATTCCCCCTTAAGAAAGCAAAAGCAGACTAAGAGGGGCTAAACAAAGCCTGTTTTCTTACCTAGAGAGATTGTCGATCTGCAACCCATATTTAGTTTCTGTTTCTTTCTGGCCTATCTTGATGTTGAACTCCTTATCGACCAGCAGGACAAAGGAAATGGCCCCCGAGTCGGGCTTCATGTACATCAGGAACGAGTCCTTCACCACCAGCCACCTGTACGGGCACAGTAACCACGTCACCTGGATTTCACATTCGTGCCAGTTGTCAATACATAAGTCATAAAAAAAGCTAGTAATAAAAGGGGAAAGTGCTTCCATCAAAACAAGGGCAAATCATTTATGAAGGAAAGGAAAACATTCCCTAAATAAACACACCCCTAACTAAATGGTAAAATTTCTTCTCAGGGGCTAGACCAGGGATAATTTTCTTGAGCAGGAAAGAATCTATTTTATGAACTTGTGTAATGAGTTTGAATTCAGTATAAGACTTTTAGAGTTATCTACATGACTCCTTTTTACACAGTCTTTGAAAATACAGGTTTGCTTGTTTAACAAAATCCACGAGAACCTCCCTGGTTATAAATCTCCCAGCACTAGGCAAAGTGCAACAAAGATGTCTCCATCCCAGGTTTTAATTCAGTTTTCATTCTATACAAGAGTTATTTGACATTTCTAACATTAACTCTGATGCTAGGATCACTTTCACTCCTATCAAAATATATGAACGAGGCATTTTGGAAAGCTTTCATTGCCAAGCAACAGGCACCCTGTTAGAAACACGAGAGGAGAGATGACCGGCAGGTTTTACATAAATAGTGTAGCCTGAAGGCAACTCTGGAAAAAACACAATTTTTACTGTGAATGGCATTTCTAATTTTTTCTCCCCCTGTGGTGTAGCTGGGGTAACCAGCCCCCTCTGTCCCACACAGGTCTCCATCACCAGCCCTTCGCTTCATTCTTCTGTACACTCAGAAATACACAAAGCAACATGAAACACTGCAAAAATCTGTTCATTCTTGTATCTTTAGTAACAGCCTCAAACTCATCTACTTCCAGATCTCATAAATTTTTCTTTCTTTCAGGGCTCTGAGAGTTACCCAGCATCACCTCTCATTAAAATACCTCCCATCCCTATCTGGCCCATAGTTTCACTCTTAAACATCCCACAGAGTATATTTCCAAGCATTCCCCTTTCTGTTTTTCCCAGGCAGCTCTACAAGCCCAAGATGTCCTAACCATGCCCTTTCACAGCATCGCCCCACTGTCCACCTCCATGTCCTAAAATCCTTCATTTAAATAACCCTCTCTGGGAAATATTCCTGTTATTTGATTGGTTATTGATGCATAAGCTGTCAATCCCTGTGGGCCACTGATGGGCATTTGGTGCCCCTCTTGTGCTACTGTGTACACAATCCCACTCAAACACCTCTCCCACCCCATTTTTAAGCTCTAAAGTAAAATGAAGATCCATTGGAGCTGGATGTGCTCCTGTCTCCCCTAAAGCCTGAGCTCTGCATAACACAGAGATGAGTTAACTAAGGGGTATCAAGAGGAAAAGGCTTTCTTTTCTCCATAAAAGAGAAAAAGAATTGGTGACAATTTAGTGATTTGACCTGAAGGAAAGTCACATTTTTATCTCCTGGTACTCATAGAGATCTGTAAAATTACATTAAGAAATGTTAGAAAGACTATGGAGAAACAGGACCATTTGTTCACAAGAATGAAGTAAGGTTTTGTTGGAAAAGAGAATTACTGAAGATAAAACTAATGACAGTGCACAGGTGATGCTAAAATCCAAAAGGTAGATAATGCTTGGGGAAGCTCTATCAACCAAGAAACTGTTGCTGTAAGGCAGATATGGGCTATTTGGATTTTCAAAAGAAAAGAAGGGGAAGGCCATGCTCCAGGAAATGTTCCCTGTATTTTTTGGGTAGCTGGTAACACACATACTCCCCCACAGCACACGTCTCCCTGTGCTGTGGCCCCAGGCAGTACCGAGACCTAACACAGAAGGTAAAGGGATGGGGACAGTAGGTTTTGTCTGTCTACATTAGAAAGGGGCATGGGAACAGCATGGCTTGTGAAAACTTCCATGGAAACACTGGGATTTAACTACCTGCAGTAATAAGGAAGAGGGAACATATTTAATGCCAAGGTTAATTGCACCAAACAGCCTCTTACTGCTGCAGGTCACGTCTGATTTAATGCTGCTCTGAACTGGTCCAGAGAGTGTTTCCATTAATTGATTTTCATTTTGTAAATTGAGGAAGGGAAGCTCAGAAAACAAGGCTGGAATATGCCCAGGGCAGTGTCACCAGCCACATCCCCTTCAGAAGGCATGGAGCCACCGGTGCTCCCACAGCAGGGAAAGCTGGGAACAGGCTGGGGGGTTATTGCCATTTCTGCCAGATCAAGGCTGTAAGAAATCCCACTTTTCCTCTGGAATATCATGTCCCTTCTGTGAACTCCAAAGCAGAAGAAAAAACCCACCACACAGGAGTGTGAGGGGGGAACATCCTACACATCCTTTCAGCCTGAAAATCTGTGGCTCTTACAAAAAACTAAGAATCTCCCTCATGGATTTTGTTACAGAAAAAGACAAAATGAGCATTTCTGTGTGCCCGAGGAGCACGTGGCACCCCCACCTTTGTCACCCCAGCAGTACCTTTTGGACCAGCGGTAGCACATCCTCCCTTGGCCGCAGCAGTTCAGGCCAGGGATGCGGTGGCCTCCCGAGCGCTTCATGATGAATCCTTCTCTGTGAGGACAGAAAAGGGGTCAGGATGGGTGACATGGCTCACATGGAGGTGCAGGGGAGCTTTTGGGTGGAGGGTGCTTGCTGAATCCCCCCTCCTCTGTGCCCAGGGATGGCTCCTGCCACCTCCAGGCTGTGCCGGCCTCTGTGCTGTGACAAAGGGTAAAAATAACAGCCCCCCCCAAAAAGGAAATAAAGGAGATATAAGAAATGCAGGGTGCTGGTTTATGGTACTGGAAGTAGAAAAACAAGGGGGTCAACAGGCTGCAGGGAGGGAAGGGGAGAAACACTGTAAGCCAGCCCGTGTCTTGCAAAGCAGCCTGCTCTCAAAACTATTTCCCCAAATTGTAGCATTTCTGTCTGAACACTAATAATTTTTTCTATCTGGATGGCAAAATATTCTCCAGTCTCCTACCAGTGAGAAAGGAAAGCTATTAATTTGAACAGTATTTATTTAATAAAGCCATGCTCTTAGTGAATCATAACTCACAAAGACACAGCTCACAACTCACATGCCCTTCGGTCCCAGGTCGTGGATGAATGACAGCTGGCTTACTCCAACGAACTCCATCTGGGAAAGAGAAAGAAATTCCCCCATCCTTCAAACTCTGAAATCCACAAAATGCTTTGCTTCATTCAAGTGACTTGCCATGAAGACAGAACATACAAGATCCTGAGCAGATGTTACCCACCACTGCCTAAGCATCTTCAAGAAGACCAAGGAAAGTAGTGTGGTTGGATTTTCAGTTTGTTTATTTTGGATGTGCCTTGGAGAACACACTTCAGGCAACCAGGACAATCAGGCTCAAATGTATTACAGGGACCTACTCATATCCTCCCTTCTGGATCACTGGTTGAACTGAGGACTCAAGTTTGACGCTGTTTGGGGGTCTGTGTGATATTGGTTGGCTGCCTGAATCCTCTCTTCCCTCAAGTGACCATCACAGAAGGACTGGAAAGAGAATGAGGACATGTCCCTAGGTCTGGGAGCATCCTATTCCCTTTGATTCTCCTACCCCATGGACACACACCATATGGGGGTTCAGCCCCTCAGCCCATGAGCATCCTCCAAAACCACCCAGATGGTTGATCCCACTCAGTGCTGCACACACACCACTGCTTATCTGGTCCCAGGAGACAAAAATCTGCAGCAAAGTCACAGTGGGGCAGGAGGGCAGCAAGTTCAAATCCCAAAGACAAGCAACCTGCCTCCTTGTGGCTCCTCCTGCTTCAGTAGGAATTGCAGAAGAACATAACAATGAGCAAAGCTGGTGAGAAAGCACAGCATGATTACATTCACCTCTAAAAATAGGACACTGGGCCATTTCAACCGAGCAGGCTTTTCTTGGCACAGGATGACATTCCTGGCAGTCTGCTGGTTATTAGCCCTGGGCCCCATTAGCAGGGACAAACACCTGCCCCGGGCGTCCTGTGCAGGACAGGGCTTGGGTAGGAGCAGCCTTGCGTGGCAGAAGCTTGTCTGCACCCGGGAACTTTTAATTTATTATCACATAAAGTTGTCCAAGTGCAGAGTGGTGCTCAGGGTAGGGTGAGGGCAGGTGTCACTGCCCCTTTAGCCAGGCAATAAAGCCAGAGGGAAACCTCTAACCACAGTAGGACAGAAGATCCTGCCACCTCCTCATGCTCTGCTGCTCCTGGGACCTTCCCAAACTTCTCATATCAATAAGGCCATGTAGAAGAACAAAAGACACCATTGCTTTCCCCTGAGTATCTCAAGGACACAAAGTAACCTCTATTCTGTAGAGGCAAATTTAATGCCCTGATTTTGGGGTCATTTCAGTCTGTTTTCAGAAAGTGGTTAGAACAAGTTATTCCATGCTTTTACTAACCATCTTTCTATCTCTGCTCTACCCACGTGTTCTGGAAAAGTACCAGGTCTGACCTACAAATGTTTCAGCTGTTTCTGAAGTGACACTCAGAGCAGGGTGGGAAGCACCTGAAAACCCAGTGTACCCTAAAAAGTCTTATCAGAGGTCCCAAGAGAAGTTTCAGGCCACTTCTTTGCCTGGATCCCATCTTAACTTCTTGAGAAAATGGCTGGCATTCCCCACCAGACAGATCAGAAACCCAGACATCCCTCACAGTGGGCACACACACAAAAAAAGCAAATGAATGTCAAAACCCTTTGAAAATGCTGGCTGGGACCAGAAAACTGGCAGCAGTTTGAGGAGCACTGCATGCAGAGAAATAAAAGAAGCAAAAAGGAAAACCAGGAGGAAAAATCACTTGCAGAAACAGAACTACCACCACATAAGAAAGAAAGAAAGATTGTCTGGCAATGCAGCAACCTCCTCTTCAGCCAAGGAGTCTTTGGAACAGCTTGGATGGTTACAGGAGCCCATCCAACACGTTGATCAAGCGCTGGTTTGTAAAACAAACCCTTAAATAAATTCCTCCAGTTAGAAGGAAAAATTCCTCAGCGCAGTGAGAAATATCTGATCGAATGATTTATTGTTATTATTATTGCTGCATTAGCTATTTTTACTGTTACAGAGCCTTTCATCCGAGGTGCTCGTCATTCACAGAGAGACTGAGAGAGGCAGGCAGAGCAGCCAGACACTTTCATCTCCGTCACACTGGAATTCCTGTGCTGCCCAGCTGCCTCCCTGGGGAGCTGGAATTCCACTCTGGTTTCAGAGTGATCCGATGCAGAATGTTTTAAGTATGAGACACAGGCCCAGAGAACGCAGCTTCAGTGACATTGTTGTAGCAATAAAAAGCAAAATTAAAAAAAGCAGACGGGAGTGGATCAGTTGCAGAAGGACAGGCTGTGGAAGGTGGAGAACCAGCTGCAAGGTGCATGGGCCACGGGTTCCAACCATCCCGTTCTGCCAGTAATGTTGAGCATCCGTGATTTATGGGAGTAAAAATTTCATAGAGCATCTGCATTTCAGAAAGAATTCAGCAGCTCCACACTGCGTTTTCATTCTGACTCTTGTTCTTAATTTAGTGGGTTAAAAAAATGGTTCAATTAGCACTGATGGCTAACAATAAAATGGAATTACACACTCTTCAGAATAATATTGTTCAGCAAAATTTCTTACACAAAATAAAAATTGGTCATACAAACCCCAAATTTAAAAAGAAAACTGAAGTGTGCTGTATTTCAAGGGTTTTTTTTAACAAACCAGCGCTTGATCACTGTATTTCAAATGTGCTGTATTTCAATTATTATATAACAAAAAGTAACTAAATAAGTAATAATAACTATTTAGTTATTTAGAAGTAAATAACTAAAAATACTAGAAAGTTGGGCAGGGACCTTTGCAGAGGTCTGCAGATCCAAGTGCACTATCAGAGGCAAACCAGCAGCCACTCACATATCTGAGTTGATCTTACATTGTACTGCTTTCACTTAAGGTGAGGTTTTTACTCTCACTTACTAAAGCTCATGCAAAACATTACACACACACTCCTGTTCAGTCAAATCTTATTTTTCATTTTGCTTAGGCATCTTTCAAATATGGGAGTTCACACAAAAAATAACGCAAAGGTCCCACTGATAAAATTTTTATGTGGAATCCAATCAAGCCCTAACATTTTGGGGTTATATTCCTCCAATTTCCATTTTCCAGAAAAAAAGTGTGGACAATTAACAGACTGAGATTCCCACAACGTTCATTTTAATGGTAATTGTCTTGAAGCACTTCAGCCCAGAGGTACTATGAAAAGGTTTGGGAAAGGGTGAGAAGGCATGAGATTTAATCATAAATCACATAACAAAAAAACCAAAGAAAACAAAAATAAAAAGCTGGGGGATGTACAAGCTCTACAGTGCCACGTGGTCACTGTGGACCAAATCCTCAACCCACCGGGGATCCCAGGTCTGCAAAACCACTACAAGCTTCAGCTTGCAGGCTTGACTGTCCCAGTGCATGGCACATCCTCCAGACAGTGTTTAAAGCTATTTGCTCTCACTGGGAAATAACAAATTAACCACAAATGCAAAATAAAAGAAGTAAAAAAGTGAATTGATTAAATTGTGCAGCTCAGATGTAAAAAACATATCCTTGTAGACACAACTGAGCCAAGCAAGCCCTTCACACGGACTAAGGGCTGCACTCCCTTAGGGCAGGTCACAGTTTGCCTTTGCAACTCCATGTCTCACTTTACAAAGTAGAGTTCAGGATTTAAAAATAAAAAAAAAAATACCTCAGTGCATCAATTTGATGAGAGGAATACACAGGAGTCAAAATGTGCTCCAAGATTAAGACAGTTACAGCATTTGTCAGCATCCAGGCAAAAGACTTCTCAACCACAGGAAGAGCAAAGCCCTCATTTTGTTCTCAGGAGGACAAATACAGTTCTGGGGAAAGTGCCAGAAATCTTCACTTTAGTCTCTACAGAGTATGAGAATGGTGGGGGTTGTTTTGGTGGTTGTTTCTTTTTTTTTTTTTTTTAAAGGAAGCATTTTTCTCCCTGTGCTTTCTTCCAGCGTCGCCTGCAGGACCCGCGCTGCCACCGTGAGCAGCAGAGTCCTCACTGAATGCTTCGCTGTGGCCAAATCCAGTGGGAGCCAACAATAAACTGAGAATTTATGTGCAAAGTGACATCTGGCTCCGGGGGCTGGGGACAGAAGGGCGATTCAGCACAGGAGGGGAGCACCCCACAGCTGCCTGGGCAAGGCAGGGCCGCTCGTCTCCTCCCCCGGCCCCCACCGCGCCTGCACTGCACATCTCAAACCACAGCCTGGCCAAAGCATCACCCACGTTCCTACAGGAGCAGAAATGCTCCAAAGTACTTGAAAAAAGCAACGCCTGCCTAAAAGTGACAAGATGGATCCACACTGTAAAATAACTCTCCCCCGCTCTGCATATGCTGCTGATCAAAATTGCCAAGTTATCCCAATCTTGCTTTAAGAACAAAAGATGACTCTTTCCCACATGCAGACTAACACAGCTCAACTGCAGCGGATTAAGCTCCACTGCCTGTCCCCAAAAGAAGCACTCTAAGGAAAACAGTTGCCTCAGACTAGTCTGAAGGTTTCTGTCCAACCCCAACGAGCACTTTAGCTCACAAAAGCAGTGCTTAACACACTGAGCTCTGCAACAGAGCAAAACCAGTTTTTGGGCATGACATCCATCTATGAGCTGCCCAACATCTCTACACAACTGAAGTCCTAGAGAAGAATATCTACCAAACAAGAACAACAAAAGTGGAAGAGAAGAACTGGCTGCTACAGAAACCCTAAGTTCAGTCTATATTTCTGGCTTGTTTGAAAACCAAGTGCTCCCAGTTATCATCCTTGGCTCAAAAATGTCACTAAGCTCAGCAGCTACTCAGAGTGTGCATCAGATTTTGCTGATAATACAAAAGATGGAATAACACAGTCATTATGCAGCCAAAAAAGGGGAAATAAATTACCATCCCTGGGAGATGTTACAGCTGCAACTGACAGGTGAGGAGCACTGAAGAAACATTCGAGGATGGATTTCAAAAGAAACATTTTTTGCTTAAAATAGGCCTGAAACTGGATTTGACATCTCATTTCAAAAAGAGTGTTGACCTGGGGAAATAAGCCAACTTTCATCTCCCTTTGAAACTGCCAAAATACCTGGAAAGGTGAAGGGGCATCATAAACACAAACTCAGCATCACTGATGCCCAGTGAAACTGCAGAGAACAGAAACCTGATACAAAACGGCACCCAGGACCACACACAAAGCCCAAACTGATGGAGCAATTACAAATGTGCTTTGGAGTCCAATTGTTTAAGTGCTTAAAACTTTAACTTATCATCTTAAACACTGCAGAATTAAACAGAAATCATTATACATGTACAACCAGCTGTCTGGACTGGACTTTCTTCAGGAGATTATCCCTGTGTTATACCAACAACATCCAAGACTGAGTCATTCACTCTCCTCCTTTGGCTTTCATCATATGACATCATGTTGGAGAAATTAGCTAAGCCAAAATGCTCACAAAATAGCTGTAAAATGTTTCATCCATAAGCTGCATGTCTTCCAATGAATTCAGCATTTGTAAAGTGAATATTCTTTAGGTAAGCAAACTAATTTCTACTTACTGTTCCATGGTAGTTCTTGTACATTGGCATTTTCAGGATATTTGACAAGTAGTCCTCCAGCTGTTTCTACAATTAAAATGTTGACACTTTAGATAAGATGTGGAGGTTTTTCTTCAAAATTCCTGCAAACACCCTGTCCAGCATGAGGAAGCAACCAAGAAATCAGACACACTTTTCAGTGTGAGTGGATAAATGAATACATTATTATGTTCTCACGGGATATTACAGCTCAGCACCATAAACAGTTTGGTCACAGGTTGTTTACTGTTCACAGATCTGTGTTTATTCTTTCCAACAGCAGTTCCTCGTTCCTTGGCAGTGTCACTTTGGAGGTCAACTTTCTTGACTGAACCCAAGTTTCAGAACAACTGTAAATACAAAATTAGTCCCCACTGTTTCTGACACACATGAATTAGCTTTGTGAGAAAACACTGCCTCAGAGGCAACTGAGAGAGCCTGTTTAACCAAAACATCAGGTTCATGGGGCGAGGAGCATGATGATTATGCTGCCTTGTCCCAAAAGCCATGGAGAGGGCAGTGACTGGGCCTGTCCTCCTCAGCCAGGAGGGGAGAAGAGAAGAAACCGTTATGGGAGAATTAACCTCTTCCCATCCTCGTGGTAAATGGGCAAGGAAGAAATTAGAGTGTCACAGCATAAGAAACTGGACAGAGTCCTACAGGACACAAAACAAACCAAAAAGAAACAAATGCCATCAGGATCTTTATCCTTCTCAGCACTGACATCACAGCACTGAGCTCCCCGGCTGGGCAGCAAGGGTGTACATCCCCCTGGTGAGAGCGGTGAGATTCCCACAAGAAAGCCAAGATGAGTGCAGAAAAAAGCATCTAGAACACATTTTCCTTCCTCTTTTAAACCAGTATCTCTCTCCTGAAACTTCCCGCGCATCAGTGGAGCCGTGCACAGCAGGGAGGGTTATCTGCACGTCACAGCCACGAGACACAGTCTTTTGGGACGTGAAGCTCCAGTGGCAGAAAGCCCAGAGAAGGAGGGAGCAGCAGAAAGAGAACGATAAGCTGGCTGAACAAACATGGGTTTTTATGGAGTTTTTTTCCCCCCCTTGCAAACAGCAAAGCTGCAGTGAAGAGGGAGGAAGACATCCACCCTCTCCACGGAAGCGCCCATCTGTTAACATCTGATGAAGTTACACAGAACACGTGTGCCTTGGCTAAAATTACCCATGACAGCACAGGGAGCCTGGCTGTCAGCTCCTCTTTCAGAGGGGGACAGGACTGAAATCTCTCAGATTTTGATGGCCTCGGGGCTGCCTCCATCACGCAACTTGACTCTGCAAACTGCCTCTTCTATCTTTAAATCAGAGCAGGTGGGAGGAGGGAAACCACCACTCCCAGCATCGTGGTTTTTGCTCAGCTGCAGAGGAAAACTTTGCCTGTATGAACTCCGAGAGAAGCATCCTCATCACTGCACAGGGGAGAACGTGGCATTAAAGCTGGGCTTGTCAAACGTGAGTTTACCAAACAAAATACTTTAATATCAATAAACAAAGGGTTTGATAATGTGTGGCTTTGCAAGCAACCTGCCTGGCACCTCTGCACCTCAGAAGCCCTCCCAGAACACCCCTCTGGCCCCCAGGCTGAGCTGGGCACTCACCCTCCTGCTGGAGAAGTGCTCCTCCCGCACCGTGCTCTCCGCGGTGTGTGGCAGACTCGGCATCTGCCTCGGCTCTCCCCTTTTGATGGATTGTCTTCTCACCGTGTGACTGCAAGGAAAAGCAAACCCCAGCATCAGGTCTCAGTGCTGCAAGAGTGTGTGTGTGTGTGCACCTCGATATGTAACTCCCCCCTTCTGCCATGCTTTTATTTTTCCTATCCAAACTCTTAAAAACTGAGATGGGTGGGCAGGACAGCAAATAAACAAATTAAAAAAAAAAAAAAAAAGCCAGTGTGGACTCATTGAAAAAGCCAGTGTGCTCCAACCGGCTCACAAAAACACAACACAGAAATAGCAGAGTTTCGTTTTTTGAGGGCCACATTTTGCCCTCAAATAGAGAGCCTACACCCTATTTTTAGGGCATTAAGTTTCTCCAGCACTTAACCCCTCATAATTTCACCTTTCCCATCATATCCCAGTATTTCTCCACATCAGGAGGCTCTTGCTGTCCTAGAGCACTTCTCTTCACACTTCTTTTCTCTTTTCCTTTATGTTTCTAGTCACCCTGAGCACCAAGGCCAACCTGGGCAGGGCTGACCACTCATGCCAGGGACCCCCATACCTTCAACATCCAGCCCATGCTGTCAGAAAGCCACAGCACACCAGCAATTTCCATTAGCTTTAGCATAGCCAATCCCCAAGTTCAAGGCAAATTCAGCCCAAAAGCTGGTGACCCGGGAGACAGCGTTTTCTGCGTCAGCAGAGACATTGCATCACTTAGATTATTGCTACTGAATGCACAGATTAAATATTTTTATTATAGCTAATAAATATTTATAGAGACTGAATTCTTCTGTCCTCTCCTCCACACGGCAAAGTAAATGGGATCAGTGAAACCAAACGGATGCATTGCTAAAAGAAATAGATTCCCCCCCCTCCCAAAGCCCACTTTGTCCTCAGGGATCCACACTCACCTCCTGGTAGGGATAGGGATGCGCACGAAGGCTTTGTATCTCAGCAGCTCCCTGTGAAGCTCCTGGAAGTGCTTGAACTTCCTTTTCACCTGCCAGGTGAACTCTCCATGGGTCAGCTCAATGGTGTAAACGTTGGGGCTTGGTACCTGCAGAGGAGAACATCGTACAAGGGATGAAGCTCTGAAATAAGTACTTTTCCTGTAGCTGCTCAACTGAAGAGCCTTTATTCGATTTTACTTAAGGATCATTCTGTCTCATGAGTTCTTGTTCTGCTTTATTAGATTTTAAACAGATGGGTAACCTTCTCTCTTAAGTGTTTTCTGAGGCACAGGCATTCCTCCTTCCTCAGCCAGTGAACAAGCAAGCACAAAATCAACCCACAAGCAGCACTGTAACACAGTTCTAACGAAAGTGAACGAAATTTCTGGAGGTTCTGACCTTCTTAGTGGAAGTGAAGCGCTCAACTTCCAACACACGCACTCGGATAGGACATCCCGTGAGGTACGTCTGCGTGCCCGGCTCCTTGAACCCATGGGTGTGATAGATGGCAGAGAAGGGAATGCACGCTGCAAGGACCACAAAACCCTGTTAGCTCAACAGCCTTGTAAGGATCCACGAGGGTGTGAAAGCCAGCAGACAGCTGCAGTGCTTTAACACAGGAGCATTTACACAGCAGCATTAATTCCGCTAAAATATACCAGGTTTTATTTCAGAGAGCTCGAAGACAAGCTTTCACAGAAGGGGTTTGACTTGAAAAGCTCAAGTTTTAAGAGCCTCCTGGTTCTGAACCAGGGTCAGTGGCTGGGCTTGGAAAGACCCCTGAGGCTGTACCCCACCTGTCAACAGATGACTAAATCCAGGCAGGACATGGGTTAAGAAGGTAAAGGTGTCAACTCACCAGTGCCTTTCGGGTCATTTAGCACCTCTGAGTCGACCTCCTCCCCCTCCACGTGGAGCTCCCTGGTGTCCAGGCTCTCGATGATGTTGCTCATGTCTGCAGCGATCTTCTTCAGCGTCGATGTGGCTGCATGGCTTTCGGCTCTCAGTGACATCTCCGGGGCCCGCGCTCTGGAGCCGCGGGGCGCTGGGGAGAGGAAGGGGCAGGGCTGTCATCACCCCCTCTGCTACACAGAGCAGGGGCTCAGGGAAACCACTGGCAGCACAAGGCCCCCTCGTCCCTCCAGCCCCTTCCCCACACTCATCCCAACTATCCCCATCCTACACGCCTGATGCAAACACCCAGCCCTGCAGCTACAGGAAACCACAGCCCAGGGCAGTGAAAAAGTACAGGTAGCTTCAGGCTGCAAGAGAAAATTTCCCCCCAAGCCAGTGACCACAGGACTCATACACTCTAGTTGTATTTTTAAAAGGAAAATAAGTAATATTTCACTTTCCGGCTAAAAACACCTGCAGGGAGTTGGTTGTGGTTTAGGATTACCTTCATTTATTGATTACAAAAGGAAAGCAAGGAAGTTTCTGCATCAGCTCACCTGATCATCTCAACAACCTCTGCAATAATGACCATACACCAGAAAAAGCACAAACCATGTCAATTCCCGGCCAAATCCCTGACTTAATTCACAGGGCACTGCGTTTCCCAGCTCAGGCTGCATGGAGGAACAGCTCACTCAGAAAATCAGCAGGCATTTTTGTTACACGTTCTTCCTTTGACTGAACTAGTGACACAAACTCCAGGCATTATTAAGATTTCCTCTATTTCTCTGCACCTGAACAATTGCCTGTGGTATCTGCGTGCCTCGTGCTCTCCCACGGCTCCCTCCTCTCAGCAGGCTCAGAATTTACAGCTGTAAATATTCCTCTCTGGGGAGCAGACTGGGGTTGGGGGGCATCCTGATGCCCACAGGAAGCCTGGGAGCAATAAGGTGGACACTCCAGCTTGTCCTTGTGTCACCCCTCCAACAGCCCAGGTGGCTGCAGGACCAGCCCACGGCCCCTTAGTGATGAGGACAGGGGCTGCTGCCTGCTCAGGGTGCTCAGGCAGTGGCACCTGGAGGTGTTTAGGCACTGATGACTACAGCACTGCCCACCTTTATTCCCACCCAGCCATGCCAAGAGCCTGAGTCAGGACAAAAACGGGGAAGGAAGAAGAAAAAAAAATAAGGAAACAAAAATAAATCGATATGTGAGGCATGTCCACCGAGACTGGCACAAGCCTTTGGCACCTGTGTGTTTTTGCAAACCCTCCTCTTCTTCCTCCTCTTCCGGGCTCTGCAACTCACTGTGGGGCTGAGGAATTGGCTGCTGGTCCTTGCACACAGCCAAGCTCCAGCTCTTGGGCATCTCCATGATAAATAAGTCCCTTCAGTCTTTGCCCTGCTCTGCAATAAATGTCACAGCTCCACTGAAAAAATATGGACGGGACAAACTGGCAACATTTTACAGCAGTCAATACAAGGATGCCCATTTATACTCGTGGAAGCTCTTATATTGTGTTAAAGAATGATTTTTAAAAGAAGTGTGACATTTCTGAAGTCAAATTCTGCAAAGAACACTGTGCCATTATTCTTGAGTGAGCTCCATAGCAAGAGCTGGGTATGCCGTAACTTGGAAATAATTTAACATTTTAATAAATCATGCGTTTAGCTGCTTTTGAAAGGACATACTTTATTATTGTTTCCTCTTGAAACGAGTACATTATTTTATTACTACATAAGGCTGATATCATGTAAGCCCAAAAACATGTTAAAAGCAGCTGCCTTCAGAAAAAAAAAATAATCCATTTGCACGCAGACTTGAATCAAGAAAAAAATGGGTCAATCTCTTCTCTTATACCAAAGTAAATGCAGAACCAACAGCTTCATCTTGGGAGTGAGGGCTCTGAGGGCCTTGGTGGCTCTGCCACCTGCCACCAGTGGCAAGGAATGCCACCACAGCACAGAAGGCTTTAGGACCAGACTGAGGGATTGTTGGGCCCCCAGGTCACTTCAAGAAATGCACCTGAATAATTCAAACATAAACCTGCACTTGTACACTCCTGGGTACCTCCTTCCCCCATGATACACTGAACTGTGGGGCAATGTCCTGGTTTTGGCTGGGACAGAGTTAGTTTTCTTCTTATTAGCTGGTACAGTGCTGTGTTTTCCCAGTTTCCCTGCTCTGCCAGTGGTGAGGTGCACAAGAAGCTGGGGGTCAGCAAGGCCAGGACAGCTGACCTGAACAATACAAAGGGATATTCCACTCCATAGAACATCATGCCCAGTATATAAACTGGATTGGCAGGAAGGGGCTGATTGCTATTGGGGAACAGGCTGGACATCTGTCAGCAGGTGGTGAGCAATTATTGGATTGTGCATCACTTGTTTCCCTCAGGTGTTATTCCTTTCTCTCTCTCTCTCATTACAATTAATAATATTATTATTAGTAGTATTATAATATTTTATTTTGTTTCAATTATTAAACTGTTCTCACCCCAACTGATGTTACCCACTTCCCTACCCAGCCCACACAGCTTCCCCACAGCAGGAATCTGGCACTAGCACTGCCCCACACCTCCCTCGCCGCCACTCCATGGAAAGCCAGTTCTCCCTGTTGGAAGCTTTACACTTCTCCTATTCTAACAACAACACTGCAGGGGAATTGAATTATTCAGAGAGCATAAGGTACATTTTCATTTTCTTCTAGCAGTGAAGTCATTCCACCTGATATAGACTGGCTTTGGATGTTTGATTTTTCTCCCTGGAAAGCAGGCATACACAAATATCATTCCCAAGGGAGGCTACAAAGGTTTTATTTCCCAAATAACCCTGGGGGTGGCAGAGGAGAGCCCAGAGCCCTGCTCTGCACTGACACGTACAATAAAATCCTATTTCCCACTCAACATTTCAGGCAAAGAGGTTTTTTGATCATTGCTAGATGGAAATAAAGCAGCATCTTGCTTTGTATTCCTTCTGTCTGTATTCATGTTTAGAAACAAAACACAGTTTGTTTTTTTCTTTAGTCTGAAGAAGCTTTTGCTTCATGGAAACTTAATGCCCTTTCCAAAAGAAGTTTTCCACAGTCCAAGAGAACACAAGCCCAAGCACACTCTGTACGTGCCATGCCAGCAATTACATTTGAAGGAAAGCAGCAAATACCACATCAGGAAGGCTGGAGGAAGAGCACACGGAGAGGAGCCAACAGGGAGAGGATGCACATCCTCCCTCCTCCTCCTGTTCCTCCTCCTCCCCTCCCTGCCGTGCCAGGTACAGCTGGGCTCCTCGTCACATTAATTGACGCAGCCAGTTAATGGATAAACAATTAACCAGTGTATGCAGTGATTACTTGCCAGGGGCCACAGCAGGGCTGCATAACTCAGGATTTTTTAAATTTTTTTTTTTTTTTTAAGCTGAAGTAGTTTTTTTGCCTTGCTGGCACAGGCAAGTCCTGGGATAAGGCAGGGTCCAAACTCAGACAGACCTGAGTCAGTCCCAGCAGCACGATTCTTCCCATGGAGATTAGAGCAAGATTTTGGGGTTGAGAGGGAAAGTGTGACTTCTCCAGCAGCCCCATGAACTTGGGCAGAGGACAAGCTCCCCATCACAGTCAGCTGCATCAGAGCCAGAGGGCACAGGGCAAGCCCAGCCCTGGGCAGAGAGGACAGCTCTGGGGTCAGCTGGAAAGACAGGACATAACACATCCCTCTGAAAGCTTCTGCAAATTGCTTTATACGGCTCTGCTCTGCAAGAGCTACTTAACCTCTTGGCCAGAGTTTCCATGTGGACACTGCCTGCATTCCCATGGGCAAGCTGAGGAATGCTCCCGGGTTAATCCACAACAGGCTGGGTGCAACAGGCACCACGCATGGATATCCAGGATTTAACCACAAACTAGACTGGCTACATGAAGAAGGTCCTGTCTATCCAGTGCCACTCACTGCTCACACTAGTGATGGACCAGAGAACAGAATTATAAACCTGCTGATACTGTCAGCGTTGGAGGCTGCAATTATGTGCAGGTCAGAGAGAACTCAAGTAGCAGGAGAGTGGAAATAATAAAGAAATTAATCAGAAACAAGTGCTGCATTTTAATATTTGGCTGTTGCCATTCAGAACAGAAAATAAGTAGTGTTTGTTTAAGGGAAAAAAACAACAACCAACCAAAACCAAAGAGAAAGACCAGGGTTTGACTGAATCAAGAACCAGCAATCTGAACAAAGGCAAAACCAGTGCCAAGATGCACAAACACAGATATTCCCTGCGAGCCAAAAAGGAAGATACGGTGCAGGGGACAGAAGAGTCAGATCTAAAGCATTTGACCTGTGAGAACAGTGTCAGTACTGAGAGCAGGAAGATAAATGGGACACAGTCTGCAAGCCTACAGAAGGCTGCTGTGAACTGGGTGGACAAGGGAGAACTGCTCTGAATTAGAATCACAGAATTGTGGAAGGGTTTGGGTTGGAAAGGACCTTAAAGAATATCCAGTTCCATGGGCAGGGACATCTTCCACTAGACCAAGTTGCTCCAAGCCCTCTCCAACCTGGCCTTGAACACTTCCAGGGAACAGCTTCTCTGGGCAACCTGTGCCAGGGCCTCATAACTTTCACAGGGAAGAATTTCTTCCTAATATCTAATTTAAATCTACTCTCTTTCAGTTTAATTGCTGGCTTAAAGCAGAGACTAGGGAGAAAGCTCTGTCTACTGGTAATGACACGGGATTGCCCGAGGAAGAGTTTGCAGACTCCCAGGGCAGGAGGAGGCAGGAGCAGAGGAGAGGGAACAGTTGCACCAGCTCCCTTCCAAGACCCTCAGATCCCACAAATCCAAACCTGCTGGCCTCAGCAGAGAGGAGCTGGCACAGTAACCTTCATTTGAACAGAGGGAAGGTGATGCTCCAGCTTTATCCAGCATGAAATCTGCCTGGGCAAAAGCAGCAAGAAGGAAAAACCAACCAGTAAAGTCAGCAGTAAAGGAAAACTTCAGAAAGCATGAACAGACAAGGAAGAAGGGAGATGGTAAGAAACTGAAAGAGGCAAAAAAACCAGACCAAAAACCCCACAAGCACTGCTGACACTGCCTTTGTTCAGCCTAGTTCTCAGATTAATTATTTCTTCTTTCAAGTACCACTTAAACTCTCTGCCTCCTGCTGCCAGGCTGTCCCCACAGCACAGGGGCCCCAAACCTCTTGAACTACTAAAATATATACACTGGAAATAGTGACTGCACCAAGAATCAGCCAGGATTTCAACTACAGGGACAATGACTATAAAAATCAAAATTAACTACATGAATCCCTAAGCCCTTGTGAATACATTGCCAGCCTATAGCTCAGTCTTTGCAAACCTGGTATCCACTTCTGCTATTTGCCATTTTGGTTATGCTTTAACCCCAAGTTAGTACTTCGGGGATCATATGACAACCTCAGCTAAAGAAAATGCTTTTCTACTTGTTGCACAGGACAACAAAAGAACAGCTTTAAAGGCATGGAAACTGGAAGTCAGAAAACACATATTTTAGTAAATATTCATGAACAGTTCTGTATTTTGAAGTCATTCACGTCCTGATGTGAAAATGCATGCAGCTGGTAATAGCACAGACTACCTAAACCTTGGTCAGCCTAAGTTTATTCTGTATCGTGGCAGATCTGCAACAAGCTCAGATAATCCCTGTTCCTTAATGAGGCTCTGATGCTGACAAGCACCACGAAGAGCTATGAAACCCAGAAAGCCTTCATTTGAAAAAGAGAGGAGGAGGGAAGAGAAAGTACATCCAGGAAAAACAGACATTTCCTGCCAATGCCTCACAGGGTTTGATGCTCAACATCAACTCCCATCCCTGTGCTGAGAAACGCTTTAATCCCTAAAACTTACCCTCATTCCAGTTCTCATGACATCTCTCTCAGTACAGTGACCTTTTGGCAAGGGCTGTGACAAGTGACCTCTGTTCCCATACTTGGTTTCGTCCCGCGGGCAGCAGTGCCGGTGGTGGGAGACACGCAAACCTCCCAGGCTGCATGGACAAAATCAGACAGGCTCAGCCTAAAACTGGGCAATGAGATGATGTTATTAAAAAGAAAAAAACACCAACAGTCAAAACAAAGCTCAAAGAAATCGGGCCATAAATTCTCTCTCTCTTTCTGCTGCTGCCAGGAGCCTGGGTGCCATACATGCACTGACAGCCCAGATGAGATGCCAAGGAAATCCCATGCATGATGCCCTCAACAGAGCTATTTGCTCTGTCTAGTGGTGATGAATATTTTCCATGTAAGTATTCCCTATTTATCCCCTCTTAAACCTAAAAATAGCTTTGGACCAGTGCTACATGGAGAAATACCCTCACCTGACAAGGTGAGGTGTTATTTGCATCCCCCAGGAGAAGCTGGGCTTGTCAGCACCTCAGGTTTACACCTTGGCACACCTTCCTTCCACAGCCCTGGGCAGGGGTCAGCCCTACCCAGACCCAGAGATGTCCCCCAGGCTCAGGTCCCAGTCAGCACCTGCAAAGGGGATCCTGCTTTTTCAGACCACGAAAACCCTGTACCCATGACAAAGCAAGAGAAACGTTCACTGATTTTATTTTTCCCCTACTACTTAAGCAAAATCTCAGGGCTCCTATGGGTAACATGTTACAGATCCTAAGTATGAAATTAAAGACAGAGGGGTTGAAAAATTCTCAGTAATGCCTTAACCCTGTTCTTCAGTTCAGTACATGGAAACTATTCAGCCAGAGGAGCAAGCAGCCAGCATGGCACATGCAGACGCCTCCTGAAAATCTGCCCTTCTGGTTGCTCACACTGCAGGGACAGTGCAGAGGATAAGGGTTTGTTTTTTAAAAGACACAAAACAACCCTTGAATAAGACCCAAAGCATTGCTCCCACCCTGGAGCTGGGGAACTGAAATATAAATCCAAATCAACACTAAACACTATGTTCAAACACCATCCTGACCTAATTTTCTTATCTTTAGCCCAATCCTGATAAAACCAAAATATTTCAAAACACTCTTTCCAAAACAATCATTCCCACAAAGTGCCTACATTTAATAGCAATACCTCTAAAAGGAGAAACCAATTAGTGCTTTCTGCAGCACAGTTCCCTGGTTCTGCATTATTGATTTCCACAGTCCTTGCCACGTGAGGCTTACTGCCAAGCCACCAGCCTGCCCAGAGGAAAAGCAAAGTCATGGGAATCCACATGGCCTGTTTGCAACAGGGATCGACATGCTTCAAGGCTGGGATTTCCTGGAAACAGCAGGTTAATCTTGGAAGTCCCTGCTGCATTGGAACCATACTGAGCAGAGCCCCTTATACCCTCTGTACAGGGCTCTGTAGCACTGATCCCACAGTGCTCCTGCTAGAGAAGAGGGAACAGAAAAACCAGGCAGGCCAAGGGAAATTATGAGGTGACTAAGCCATGGCTGCAGTCAGAAAACCCCCCTGTGCTGTGTTTTTCCCCACACCCAGGCCCAGCCTAAGCGTCAGGCGCCTCCCAAGGACTCAGTTTATTTGCTTTACCAAACAGCAAAGGGGAAACATAAACATCCTTGGGTGAGCAGTGCCTGCTGATCTCATGCTGATGTACTGGTTGCTCTGGCTCCTGCTCTCCCACCACAGGGCTCCCGCTTCCCCTGCCCAGCAGCACCCCAGGAGTGCAGTACCCACTCCCTGGGGTGCCACGGGAAGTGCAGCCTCCCCAGGAAGCCGATCATTAGCTATTTATTGGTAATTAATGCTGGCCCTTCACATACTAATCCGTTGCCATGTTTTGGATTCCTCAGGCGAGGACAAGAGTGTTTTAACACAGTGCTTGCAACTCGGGCTGTGCATCCTCCAGGGATCACCATGAGCCCTGCACTGCCTGATGTGGTCATGGCACTCACCCTAAACTCAGGAGTACTGTGCATAACACCCTTGAAAGCCAGGACAGGGGATGCCCAGAGCCTCTGGCACCCAGTTACCTACTCCAGAGACCCACTAGCACTGTAGGTACAGGCAGGCAAAGGGAACCAGGTGACAGCACCTCGGGTATCAGCTCCACCTCAGCATCCCCATGCAACGGAGATGTGGCCACGGGAGTCCTGGGCTGAGGCAAAAAAGGGACTGGGTAAAGTATCTGCTGTAAAGAGCACAAACAGCAGGAAGGCCAAAGGATGCAGCACTTCAGGGTGCTGACAGCCACGCAGAGCTTGGCAAGAGGCAGAGACTACAAAAGCTTTCTATAAAATCCTAAAAGCGAATAGCGCTTGCCAGAGTGATAGTGTAATGCACAGGACTCCTGGAGTGACCATCTATCTTCCCAATCATCAGGGATGACAAGGAGCACCGCAGTGCTCCCGGGATGGTGCACATTGCTGCCGCTTTTATGTACAGTTGGACACGTCACATAAATATAGGACATATTTTCATGACCTAAACATATAGATGTCTACAGGGCTGCTGTCCTGTACACATCACTCAAAGCTATTTTGGTATCTCCCAGTGCCCCACGTCTGCTCCAGCGACTGGCACCTGCCAAGCCACAATTCCGCAAGGAATTCTGGTGGCTCGGAGACAAGAGGGCACGCTGGAAGGCAGCCCAACACCTCCATCCCACAGCAGGGTTAGGTGGCAGCTGATAAATGCAAACACAGACCTTCACATAACTCCTACCAGCCAAGCTAATCCCAGGGAAAGCACTGCAGCCTGTGCTCAGAAGGGATTCAGCGACTGGAACAGGATCTCAGCCATCGCTCCCGAGCCCTGTACAGGCACTCACTCCTGGCAGCAGCTCTAGATCATGGCAGAGTGCAGGTATGTGAGGATGTCATCATCCCTGCTCCTGCTGCAACCTGCTGCTTATTGAACAGATCTCCTTAAGTGGGAACATGACTTTCCTCTCTTCTCCTGCTTTTTCCACATGAAAGCACATGGAGGTGCTTTTTGTTGACCCTTTCTGTCACTTGCTCAAAGAAGTAAGAAATTTCTGTGGGTATCACAGCAACAAGGAGTAGCAGATACAGACCATGTATTTTTACTAATAGCTAATTGCTTTAATAAAATGCCATTTCCATTGTCATGGCTTTTTGGGGTTTGTTTGTCTAAATGGAACTCTTCAAATAATTTCCATTGAGGAAAAATAAAAAAGTTGGCATGAACACAAGGCCATGATGGAGCAGGAAGGCAAACCTTCTATTTAGTACTACTAAGTAGCACACTACTAGTTTAGTCCCCACCACAGTGCAGGTGGCTGCTGCACGTTTGCAGGGCGGGGTCCAAGCAGGTGTTTGTGTGGTGCCATCCCACACTGACACTTCCTGGCAGTGGGAATCGACCCTGCTCACGCTGAACATTAACCACTGCCAAGCTGTTTGCTTACTGTGTACACAGCATGCCAGGGGTGTACTTTGGTAAACTCAAATCACAGGACAAACTCGGGTTTGTGGGTGTGAGAGGAGCTGCAGCGCCTTGGGGACACCGTGTACCTCTGGCCGTCCCAGCAAGGGTACGTCCCAGCTTCTCTTGGCTCCTTGGCCAACACCCCACTGCCTCCCCATCCCAAATGGGACCCTGCACCACCCTGAAAGCACTGTCACCTGCTGTCCCTACCCAGGGACAAGCCAGAACCACTGGTGCAAAGCCCCACGACACAATGCAGCCACTCTCATTGCCCCAAAACACACTCAGCACTGTTGCCTGCAAACCTGGATTCAGCTCTTTTCCAAACTGAAGCTCCCTATGGATTTTTTTTTTTTTTTTTTAGCAATTCTTTTAAAGGCATTTGATGCATTCTGGCTAACAAACTCCACAAGAATTTGATCTCTCCATCCTCATTTGACTTCCATTCTCCAGTCCACCCCTAAAGCTGCTGCTCCCACCATGGAGCTGGGACAGCCAGAACCTCATGCCTGTTGTACAATCGGGCATCGTGCCCAAAGAGCCAGCAGTAACACGACCCAGAGGTAACAGGTGGGTGCATGCCTGATCCTGATCTGCATTTCCAACAGCAGCTGCTCTTCCTCACCCACAGCCAGCAGCGAGCAACGACATGGGCAAACATCAGCCCTCGGCCTCCCTTTCACACCCAGAAATCTCCTACCAGTTCATGAAGAACTTCATCTGTGGATCTAGGATAACATTAAGACCTCCCAGGAACTGCATTTTCCTTCTCCCTGGTTAGCTAAAACAAATATTTGAGAACTTCCAATTTATGAGAAGAAAACAGTTGCCTTGGGGAAGTCCCAGAGGTAATTGTAAGAGACGCTGTGAGCAGAGCTCAGAGGGCAAGGGCAATGATGTCCCTGAGACTTCAGAGGGTAAACTAACGTCTCCCAAGGAGACCCTCCATGGGATCCCAATATGACACTCCACAGAATCACAACAGAACTCAGGCCACAGGGTGCTGGAGTTCCTGAAAAGCTAATTTTTCTATACCTTGAAGTGTTTGATCCATTATCAAAATTAAGTATTAGCAAATTATTACAGAAGCTGGGTTATGACTTCTCATATAACTTTGGAACCATGGCTGAGGTTTCAGACCAGTACCTGCCAAACAGAGCTCAAACCCAGACAAATTCAGTGAAAAATTGCTCATTATGAAGAAGAAACTTGCAGAAACAGACCAGCTTCCTTCTGTTTCTTTCTTAAATACAACTAAATACCTGCAAATTTATGCAAAATAGCTCATTTACACACATTGACAATAATGACAGCTTGTTTAGAACAAAATAGATGCCTGGGGAAAAAAAAATGTTAACCCTTTTCCCGGAGGGGAAAAACAATGCTTCAATCAAGTCAGCACTGAAGCCCACTGAGGGGAGGCAGGGAAAGATGATGCTCATCTCTGAGCTCAAATCAAACCTCAGCTGCCTCCTCGTGCCCCTCCCTTACCCCCATACCCAGAGCTCCAGCCCTTTACAAGCAAAGTGGGTGCCTGGACAAGGCACAGACACCCTGCAGCTCTTTCTCCTTTTGTGAAAACTCCCCTACAGTACTTTTCCCACACGTTCCTAGTGGAAATCAGAGCATCAAGATT